AAAGGACCCGACCAAGTAAAAAAGAAAGGACCCGACCAAGTAAGAAAGGACGACACTGTTTTTTAAAAAAGTGCGACACTCTTTTCTGAAAATATACGACACTCTTTTTTCTAAAAGTGCGACATCTTAAATTTTTTTTTTGCGACATCAGTTTGGCAAAAGGTGTACTTTTGGATACTTTTAATTCTGTGAATACTTGTCTTACGTGCTTCATCACATCTTCCAAGACGACTGAAGGATTCTCATCAATCCACTCAAGAATAACTTTTTTGTGCTTCTCTTTGAGAATGCAAGGATGACCCGCTTTTCTCCGTTTCTCAAAGATACTATTAGGATCTCTTTCGTACTGTTCAACCCATTTTTATGCTGTATGAATGTGAATCCCAAGCCGCTTTTCAGCAGCAGTCGTGCTCAGACACTTCTCAAGCAGCAGCTTGAATAATCTCACTTTATTCTGATCAGAATACCGTGTATAATTTCGTTTCATTAATGTTTCCTTCATAACAACACCACTGACAAGCTTTATCTCCTCTTCTACTTACATAGCCTTTATTATATTCTCGCCCTTCAGAGGCAGTTGAACTAAATATTGTGTATCAGAGCTTAATGTTTCAAGACGAAACTATTCCTCATCAACAATATAATCCATTGGTTCAGGTCGGCCGTACTCGTCGACAACAGAGCCTTTCCCATTTTATACAAGAATTGAATGCTCATCATCATGTGGTTTCTGGTGTAGTTGCAGAAAAGAACAAAAGGAAGATGAACACTTGGTGTGCTCTTATATATCCAAAGATGTCAAAGTTTGTACTGCAGAACATCCGAATTGTCATTGGATGAATGTACTTTCTGCCAAGGGTGAATTTACTTTCTGGAAAGAGCGTATAAGCATAATTGATTGCTAAGAATAGAGAGAAAACACAACAAATCAGACCCTTTAATGAGAAGCACGCTCTCATTAGGAACATAAAGGGTGGATGTTCTCTGTATAGAACCCTTGATGTGACGGTTGGGAATGTAAATGGTTTGTCTTTGTGATACACATCCAGTAAAAATGCTAAATACTACCGCTATACAATCAATTGTGACGAAATAAAAAAAAAAAAAAAAAGCACGCGATCCTTTGAACGTATGATATTTTTTATTTAACCTTCTTTTTTCTTTTGTTATCTGTACTCAAACTATGTAACAATGATTATCCTTAAGCAAAATAAACTAGAAGAAAGTGATTTATTAAAGATAGAAACAGTAAATCCAAAGCATATAGTCGCAACTGTATTTTATTTATATGTTCTTTTAGATTATGCAAAAGATATCAGATGATCCATATGCTTATACACTTGGTCACTCGCTTTTGGATAAGCCAAGAAATGAGGTCTATGGCTTTATTGCTGGTTTAGTAAAACGTATGAACATCTGTCAAACCTTGGGTATCACAATATCAAACTTTTTGGACTTTTTAATTGACGTCGAAAGAAGATATTTGAATAACCCTTACCATTCATTCTATCACGCAGTTGACATGGTCATGGTACTATATCACTTTTTTGAGTGCTATGATATGTCTGAATATCTGACAAGGATTGATGTTGCCATGATGATCGTTGCTGCTCTATGTCATGATGTGGGTCATGTGGGTATATACATTATATACGTTCTACAAAGCTTACTTAGTTTATCAATTTTAGACTGGAAAGAATAACCAATTTGAAGTATCTTGCAAGTCAAAGCTAGCTGAAGAATTCAATAATCTTTCTGTATTAGAAAGCTATTCATGCAAACTTGCTTTGGAGTTACTCGATAAGCATGATCTAATAAGAAATATTGAAACAACAAGCAAACATTACGGCAGCCCGCTGACTAGACATGAATTCAAACAATCAATCATAAAAATGATCTTGGCAACAGACATGACACATCACTTTGATCTGCTCCACAACATCTCTGTTCTACACAACGTCGTATCAAAGAATGCTCTTCAAAATAAGATGAAACCATTGTTTTCTAAGCAAGAAGACGCTTTTTTCTATTTTGAAAAGAATCATTTCCACAGCAAAGAAACGGAGACAATAACTGTCAAATCGGTTGTAGAAGAAGATACGGAGACAATAACAGTTGAATCAGCTGTAGAAGAAGAAGATACAGATCATCCACATGGACTCTCTTCTCTTGGAAAATCATCCTCCAGGCTAACCCAAGAAGAACGACTTATGCTCTGTAATATCATAATACATGCAGCTGATGTCAGTAGCCCATGTAGACCTTGGGAGCTTTTCCATAAACTTGCTCGTCTGCTATACGTAGAGTTTTCTGAGCAAGCAGAAACTGAACAAAAGTTAGGATTGCCACAGCACATGAACCCCCTACAGGACAACTTACAGACAACCAATATGCGTTTCATCGACTTTGTTTACCCTTACTTTGAAAATTTGTCAGTCTTGTTCCCAAAGTCTTTTGAACTACTTGACGTTTGCTCCAAAAATCGTGAAGAATGGTCCAAATTATCTTCGGAACCAACAGATTTAGAATCAAAAGTATCCATTAAGGTATCCATGGAAGACCACCCTGCTCATACTCCCTTTGCTGAAAGTGGCATACACACTTCAGAGTCAACCGAAAAAGACGTGGAGAGAAGATCATCATCTCCGGCTGTTTCTTCTTGGCAGATAACTTCAACTCACAAACGGAAAGGGGAAGAGTTAAGCTCAGCTCATATAAAAGTTATGAGAAGCAATAGTGATAGCCCAAGTAGATATGTCGATTTTCTTATTTAGATCTTTAAAACGATTGTGTGTATATTTACTTGTATATATTTTGTTAAAAAACTCAAAAATTGTATAAAGAACTTGAGCTACTTTAGAATTATTTAGTAATACTATTATTGTTACTTTGGCTTGTCAGGCTTATTTTGTAAGATATTGGTATATTGTCTGTTCATGAACACAGCTTCAAACTTGTTCTGTAGGTGGATGTAGCTCTGTTGCTATAGAATATTGCACCATTACAAGCCTAGTATTATTTTGGCAGAGTACTTCCTTGGAGACATGATGTGAAGCTAAACCTGTTAATGATCTTTCAGTATATCACTACCTAAACTTAGGGCAATGATGGATGCAGCATAACTGCCAACTACTATTGCAAACTAGGTTACAGGGTGACTATATTGTAAAAGTACGCATCTTTTCAGTGATGCGTTTTGCTCTTATTTTGATGCTTTTAAAAGTTCAAGTTCTCATTGTGCCGCGTATGATATACTAGCAAAGCACCTGTGAGGCTCATAATATCATAGTGCTTTATGATAGCTCATTATCCTAGTTTCCAATGATATCGTGGCTCGAAACACAGCCAGATCCAGTTTACCGCAGACACCTTGTTAGACACGTTTTTGTTTTAAATTAGGAACAATATGACTGTAGGTTCTTTATTTCAGCAAGATCAAAACTATTGCTCTTCTCCGGGCCAAAGTTTTATTGGATTAGTTTCAGCTTTCAAAGTGTCAGCCTTGTTCTCAATTTGGGTGTTCAGTCAGAATAGCAAGATGTGTAAGCCCTTCAGAGAGAAAGAGAAAAATTACCCGCAGTGAAGCCGGCGTGGGAGAAGGACCCACCAAGAAGGAAGTCATATTTGAAAGACTACTATATACGTCAAGCACTAAAGTACCTAATTTCCATTCCATAGGATATTGCAGGATAGCTCTTGCAGCTTGTGGTAAAGAAAAGGACAGTAGCCCAAGCCCTTAATTCTTGCAACTCGTCTCTGCAGGAATTTTCAAATTAGCAAAGTAGCTTCAGTTGCGACTGTGGCGTTCTAGTACATGCACAACTTTTCAAAGAAATGAAAGGGTTACCATTTAAAAAGTTATTCTACATGGTGACCTTTCAAAACACTATGTGATTGAACTAATATAAACTTAAAGTGCACACACATTTTTTCTCTTTATTTCTCCAAAAAGATACTATAAAACAGCATTGAGTCGCTCTAAAAAGCGCTGTGAACGTCCTGTTATGTCAAACACGGTATGGCAGTGTGGTATAAGGTACAAAATTTAATAGTGTGCCATATGTATAGCATCATTGTATTATTTAATCTACATAAAGAGCTAAATTTCACTGTGTACTGTATTAACCCATTCCTTAATAAGAAGAGGAACCAAAAGGGTGTCATTGAATGTAATTACAATAATAATAATAATAAATTAAGTAGTTCAGCTGAGATATGAATATTCCCGATCACCTTACGAGGATTTTTTTGTCACGTAGAAGCAACAGGATCATTAAACTATAGTAAAGGATACCCAATTTTATATCTATCCTTGCTTTCATAGGTATTATTTAATTGAACTTAATGGAGAATTAGTGTATATTTTACGTAGAATACTAACGGTAATAGAGCATGTCATCAGTTAAAATTGAGCAGATTCACTTAAAGAACACTTGAGCTTTTAACTGTAAAACCACGAATTGAAATCCATTCTTATTCTTAGTTTCTATAAAGGAGAAACATATATACATACACCTAAACTAGAGCATAAAATATAAATTTCCATTTGTCTCTTGTACGAGTTCTTTCTTCTTGGTTCTTTTTAACTTTTACAATGCGTAATAATCAGTTAATAGCTTGGCTTATTACTAGCCAGATAATTCTTACAGTGACAGCACAATCGACTCTAAAGTAAGTTATTATTACCATGGTGCAAATAAGTGCATTAACAATCTTATATAGTGTTGAGCTCGAGCATACTGATGGGCGTGCTATGAGCACATTAGCTCGTATCAAACGCGCGCTTGGTAAATATGGCATAGTCGATAATGAGCTTAATGGGCGTATCAGTTCGGCTATCTCAGGTGTAGAATTAGAAAGTGTCTATGTAGATATAGAGGTAACCTTCCCATACATGATTACATACATCACGTTTAAATTAAGCTATTCTTTTTTTTTTTTTTTTTAAAAAAAAAGTATATTGGTGAAATATCTATTGGAACACCTCCACAAAAGTTTACTATGGATTTTGACACGGGAAGTTCAGATATCTGGATACCGTCTACTTCTTGCCTTCAATCTTGTGGTACACACCGTCGATTTGATCCTACCAAGTCGTCATCATTTGAAATTGTTAGCAACAAGACCTGGAGGCTCCAGTACGGAGACGGATCAAGCGTCAGAGGCTATGTTGGCATAGACTCTGTACATATCGGCAAGGTTACGCAGGATCGTCAACTCTTGGGTTTAGTCTCTGCCGAAACAGTAGACTTGTCCCGTGATAAGTACATGGACGGTATCTTTGGCCTAGGGTTCCCTCCGTTGGCTTATACAGGGCTTCAAAGCTCGATCGTTGAGGATTTGTTTCGTTCGGGACGAATAGCTGATCCTGTAGTTAGCTTTTATTTAGGCCACCCTCGTGATGGTGGAAGAGGCGAAATCGTAAGTACATTAAGTATAGCAGTGAAATGATTATAACACACAGACACTTATTTCGTAGCTTTTCGGTGATATAAACAAGGAACATTTTGAAGGAGAACTCAAGTACGTTCCATTAACTGAAAAGACATATTGGCAAGTTGATTTAAATGGTATTGGTGTGAAGGGTAAAGATATCATGAATGGTACAAGCATGCCTGCTATTGTGGACACAGGAACCACCTTGATTATTCTTCCAACAGCCCTGTCAAGAGCTATTCATGCATCCATCCCTGGGGCACAGTATAACTTTTTTTATGGTTGGCGAATGCCATGCGACTTGGCAGACTCAAAATCAGACGAAACCATCACGTTCAATTTAGGTGATCAAGAATTCCCTATCCCTCTCAGGGACATCGTCAGAGTCAAAAGGTCTGTTGACATTAATCCTTTCAACAACTTGTGCTTCTCTGGTATAGGAGAAGCTGACACTCCCCTCGCTATTTTGGGTGATACATTCTTAAGAAGTTATTATTCAGTTTATGATTTTGGTAACGCACGAGTAGGATTAGCTAAATCCAAGCATTAATAAAACATTCAGCGACGTTTATTGCCCTTTTTGGGTGGCGTTGTTTTCACAGCTTCCGCATAGCTTTTCCTTCTCTGTTGACTATATGGTCTCTTGCCGTATTTTTCCAGCAATCTTTGCTCAATATCTTCCAGTTCCCATTGATGAGGCGTAATCATGATGTTTTCTTTCTCTGCCAAGAAGAGCTTGTTGAAATCTTGAGGTTGTCCCGGTTGACCCATACCAGGCATCATACCAGGCATGGCACTCATTGCTGTCATATCTACGCCAGCAGCTAAAGAGGGAAAGGGTTCAAACTACTATTATTCTTCTTTTAATTAAATCTTACCATTGTTATCTCCAAGAATCAAGGAAAAGACACTTCCTAAACCAAACAAGTTTAAAAAGTACCATGAAAGAGAAGAAACCCAACTGACATCCATATCACGCGTATCTACACCGCTCTGCAACATAGATTTGAACCGAGGCGTCAAAGGAAAAGGAAGTTTAGCTAAAATATGCATAATAAATGGTTTACTGAGCTGCAAAAGAGGGTAAAGAATAATTAACTTACTAACAACGAATCCTTGAAAGAAAAAGTTGATCCACCCCATGATAATCATTTGAGGCACCATGTTTGTCAATTGCTTCTTTAAACCATCCATCATACCTTCCATCATGTCTGGATCTGTCATAGGATTAGGTGGAGCACCAGTTTCTTTGCTGGGTGTAGGATTCTTCAAGTATTCGCCTTTGTCAAAGGCGTTAGCTAAATAATTTTTACGATCCTCAAATGCTTGTTGTGGTATCACGTTGCCAAATGTTCTTAGACGTAAAGCGCGTAATAGAGCTTTACTGCAAAAAAAAAAAAAGTGAATATCGATGAGAAAAAGTCTAACCGTGTATTAATTACGATTCTCGGATAGCTTTTGGTTGCGGTGTTTTTGGTGTACCAGTAATCAGCATTGTGATGTGATGACGAAGAATACCTACAAGGACCATCACAATCATGATGGGAATCAAAACCCAATCACGTATTGCTAACGTCGCAAAAAAACAAAAAGACGATTAAAAGTGTAAAAAGAAGCAAGACTACGGCAAGCCTTACCGGGATCTAAAATCATGCGTTGTCTAGTGTAGATGGGTTGCAATTAGCATCATCTATATATACACAAAATAGGGGAAGATACAACTTACAGTTCAGGCATAATATATACTCTTGATAAACGTGCTCCAACCTGTGTTTGGAGCCCAACTTTATCATCGCCGCTCACGTGATTTTTGCGTCACCATTTCGGTGTTTGCCGGGGCGAACACACTTTTCCTAGGCGCTCTATTTCTTGGAAAATTTGCTTTGTTCTTACATTTGTTAAACATTAGACATGGTATTTTCTTGTTGAATCTTGTTCACATTTCGTTTATTCATTTTTTCTATTGTAGGGTGCTGTTCGTCGTTATCCATACCCTAAGGAAGTCTGGTACTAAATTCTACAATTGTTTGTGATTTAGAGATTTTAACTCATTTCATGTATAGGTCCCCTGCTGGTGGATGGTGGTCAAGACCACACAACTGGAAATCCAACACAATCGTTGCTGCCATTGGTATGACTGCTGCTCTTGCTGTAGTTTGGAAAGTTTCTGCCGAAAAAGAAGTAATGCACACTTAAAGTTTTAATCACCCCTTATTCATTATTATATTATATAGGTTCGTTATCAAGAACCCAAGCGTTGGATTCCTTCAATGATGGTAATTTCAAAAAAGTCATCAACTCAACATCAAACTAATATTCATCTTTATATTAATAGTGGGCTAAACAATACAAAGACAGAGAATAAAAACGATTTTTTAATACAACAAAAAGATGATAAAGAAATAAATGACACACACACACAAAAGAAATATGTAGAATATAGACAAGATATTATTACTATAATTCTTTATGAATGATTGTCGCTTGTTCCATGATTTGCATTCTGTTGTACTGATCACATCAACCACTACTGTTGTTGTTGCAGCATCCACGTAAATACTCCACGAAAAATACTGCTTTTGTGGCAGCTTTTCTTTTAAACATAATGTCTTTCTTTTTGGGAAACATTACATGCACTAGAACATACACCAGAAATTAGACTAATGCTACGGGTACTGCCTCCAGATACTACCTATGATGCCGTCCAACAAAACTTCGCCATCTTGTTTTGTTTCTTTTCAAGAAGAAGAGATGAAATGTTGTTATTTCTTCATTTATTCTAATTTTATGTTGCCAGTTGATCAAAAAGACCACTTATGATAGATTCATATTTATATTATTTAGCCTATTTTCTGATGCATGTAGTGTTTACCGTATAAATAATTAGTATACAGGACATCAGAGCAGTTGGTCATCGATATTTCGTTCCTCCAAGCAAATATTAATCAAACAAAGATTACATTGATTCTCACTTTCTAGCTCTACTATTCTTTCTATTTCTGAGAAGAGCTTTATAAAGAAGTTATACAGTCTTTCCGGAAAGTAAATTCGCCTGTGATCGAAAATAAATGCATCCAATGGTGAGAACAAAATTCATGTTGTATGAAATGTAAATTCGCCGTTACCAAGAATATTTTCGTAGTATCAGCCTTGACATCCATGGAGATACTGTATTTCCAAATTTAGATGTCGTATTGAAACCGTTGCAATGTTATCAGAGTAATAACAAATACAAAAACAATATGGCTCACTATCCCATTTGACAGTAATATCAACAAGTGGGCTGTCTTGAAGTTGAAATTAACTTAGTATTAGAAATGGCCCTCTTTAGTCTCTCTGTAAAAGTTTAAATTCTTTATTCAGTTTTTCCATGAAATCAGAAGAACATGTAGTCATATTTGGCAATGCATATTCTTGAATGGTCACGAAGCAGATTGCTTCTATTTGACATGATTTCTTTGTCCTAAGTATCCAATCCTGAAATCTGTTTGAAAGAAAAACATATAAAAACCCATTTTAATTGAGTCCTTTTTTTGCTTCTTTACAGCAGTTATCAAATGTCCCTCTGAGTGTTCAAAGATTCACCAATTAAAACTAGCCTGTCCTCATGGTCCTTGCTCTGACTCGCTTGTCCCGCCCTCTTTGCTCTCTGGCGTGTATCTGGAACGTTCCCCAATAGTCTCTTCTGACGCCATGGGTTCTCTCAGTCCTCCGTTCCTTTTTTTTTGTTTAAACTATCCTGGGTAGTTATCGCTACCCTCCCCAGAATGCACTTTGGTGGTAAGTAAAACTAATATTAGGATATGTACTCTAATACTAACATACTTTCTCTCTCTTTTTCTACATATACTCATTATCTCTCTCTCTTTTGACATGATGTCGTTTTATTCAAACGTATTTTTCTTTGTCGTCTTTTTACGACAATATTTTATAAAAATACAGTATAAAGTAGTAACTAAGAGCAACTTGCATCAAATATTCATTTAGAAACACAAAGATAAAGATCGGTGGTAATAGATGTGGTTCAAAGAGGAGGAAAACATCAATAGAAATATTTTCGTACTTTTGTATTTACGTAAAACGCTCCTGTACGTTGCTGTCACGGTTAAAGTAGGGTTCTATGTTGATCAGGGTTGTCAACCACAGTAAGATGCCTGCAACCAAAAGAGCCAACATTAATGTGTGAAGTGGATTGATCGGTAGTGTTTGAGAGAATTGAAGTGGAAGTGTGATGATGCGACATGTATTATCTGCAGAACCACTTGCCACAACTCGTCTATCAGGGCTGATTGCGATACAGGTAATGGAGAAGCTGTGAGCGTCCTTGATACGATCCAGAGTCTATGTAATATAATGAGATATAAATCACACTTTCTATCTTCTCTTGCTTGCCTTTAAGCTTGATGCATCTACAATAAAGATTGTCAAGTCTGCACAACCAAGGGCAAGCACAGCGCCATCTTGGCTCAATGCGACGGCTGTTATAGGCTTAGACGACACTTTGACCATTTTCAGCTGTTCAAATGTATAGGCATCGTACTTGACGATGTAAGCTCCCTTCTTATCATTGACAATAGCAAAACCAACATTCTCTGTGAACCCTCTGCCGTATCTAAATGCTCTAAATTCACCTTGCGAATTCTTGAGAGGGTAGCTAATGGTTTGCACCACTTTTCCAAGGTTTTTCTTGTTGCGAAGGTTGATCAGTTTTAGCTCTTGACTCAGCACACAGATAAGTTTCTCCTTTTCCAAATTGATGTCAACATCCAAAACCTCTCCGTTATTTGTTAATAAAGTCATGCAAAGTGGCTCAAGTTCAGGATAGTTGAATACGTGTACTTTTCCATCTGTTGTTCCTGTCGCAACCAAACTTCCATCAAAGCTAAAGCGTACTACACCCTAATCACACAACATATATATGTAACTAAATCTCTCTCTCCTTATACTAATATATGCTTTTTTTTTTTTTTTACCTGATAATCTTCTAGTTGCTTGCTTTCTAGTGTGTTTACTGCTTTCTGTAGTTCTAGTCTATATAATGATCATTTCAGATAAACATGTATGTGCAATCTATGCTTTGTTTTACTTGTCATCAAGTATTTTGAATAAACGGCAATTGTCATTACTGCCTTGTTTGATGTTGTTTTCTGTACTGTTAACACCCGTTATAACGATAGATTCCTGATTCAAGAGATTAGTTTCTTCTATTTGTTATAAAGAGATAATACTAACTTTTGGATGAACATCTAAACTCATGGGTGCATCTTCCTCAGAAGAAAACTCAAATGAAGCATCCTCTTCCAAGTCCTTTCGACGCGTATCAATTTTATATAAAGACTAGTGACAATGATAGATTATATACTGATTTCTTTTTTTTTCTTCTTTTCTTCTTACAAGCTTATTTTTTACACCAGAACGTCCAGCACCACCACCACCGCCAACAACAAGTTGGCCATTGGAAGTAAATGCAAGCCCAAAGATGGGAAACCCAATAGGTACTTTAAAACTAGAACAAGTCATGTAGAAAAAAAAAAAAGGAAAAAGAGCCGTGCACAAGAAATCTCTTTTATTTATTTTGTCAATGCCTCTAATAATCGCCTTACTCTGATCATAAACGCAAATAAGTTCCTACTTTTATTTAACTCGTCCACTTCATGCTGTAGATTTGGAATATTTGGCATACAATCGGATACTAAAGAAGATATAATGGGTGAATGATTGATTACTCGTTATTTTTTTTTTCTCTAATACCTGAATAAATACTGGATTCTGCTATATTTAAAATAAAAGAATAAGTTATCTTTGGTCGAGCAGGGTTCAACCTTCGATAGGTAAACCTAATTCTATCATATTCTTCATCTTATAAAAAATCAATATCAAGAAAAGATTGAACTATAAAGATATATACCTTCTGATATAGGCTCTATTGATAATCCTGTGTGTGTTATGCAACCTCGTACTTGAACCATTGCCTGTGTGCTCTTTCGTTCAATCTCTATACTTTTTTCCTCTGCTTGCATTTTCTGTATCAAGTCTTTCAATTGTCCAATTTCTTCAACTTCTTTATCTACTTGACTTCGTCGATCATCAAGTTCTCGCCTTAGTTCTTTTTCTCGTTCCAGTATCGAGAGATCTCTAGTTTCCAATAGCTCTGAGGTATTATATAAGTTGCCAATCAATCTTTATTAAAATCGCTTACTCTTCTCATACTCTTTTATACTCCTTTTTAGCTTTTCTATTTCTTCTATTGCACGTTTTTCATTCTCTTCTAATGCATCGATGCGAGTTCTAAAAGATTTGACATTGTCTGAAATTGACTTGGTGTTTGTCTCAAAGCGATTCTTTATTGTATCTATTATTCTATGTAGCTTTTGTTCATATTCTCCAATCTTTAGATCAGTTGCATTCATCGTCAATAAAAGAAAAAAGTTTTAGTTCGCGCTCAACTATTATTTATATATATATATTCTAAATGCGCGTTCGCGTGTGTGCGTGGATGAATAGATCATAAGTTCAACAGGTGATTTATATAGCTTGAAGAAGTATAAAATATTGAATCACTAGTTGAAAGCTAACTACAAAAGAGAGAGAGGGAAGGATAAAAAAAAGGAAAAATTCAGCAAGGTTTACATTCTCTCAAATCAATAATTTTAAGCTTTTTGTATCAGAAAAAGGAATTAACTCTTTCAAAATCCCTCTTGAGGCATTGATCCAAATGATAAAGACAAGCCATGTTTTATGTGGTTTTGGCGTGTTTGATATATTTGATGAGTTAGATCATCCTATTGTTGTATATATATTTTATTTCTATTGGTTTATCGTACATCATTTAACTCCTTTTCTTTCTATAAAATATTTACAGTTGCCGACTTTAGACTTTTACAAAGCTGAAAGCAACAGGAATGGTTCGAGCTGATTATCGACACGTAGACATATGATTGCCCTCATCACATCCATTGTTCGACTAGAGCATGGCGACGAGCCAGAAATGAGCCCTTTAACTGTTTTCCTTTTTGATACATCACCGCCACATACGAAGATCTTCATCGATCAAGAGAGCTGATCAAAGGTTAATACTAGCAGGACTATCTATCCTTAATTTGTACAGTTTATCCATTTGGCATGGGAGAAGGAGGAGGGTGTGTATGATATCCAGAGTTCGTTGGGTATTACACTTCGAGATTTGTTATCTTGGTTGTTGTTATTCGAACTACAGATAGATTTAACGGTTAAGCACAAAGGGATTATTCCTATTTTCCTACAGTCGCCGAATGGAGACGAAATATGTGTTATTATGTTCTCTGAGCCGTTGAAAAACCCCAATTTGCACGTTTTTGACGTCGTCGGTTATACGACCTAATTGAGTAGCTTTTGTGCTTATGCTAACTGAAGTGAGTATGGTCCATATATTTGTGTATTGATTCCAGCCTCTTGAATGGCTTGCTTTACAACATTGACCACCATGGTTAGTTGAATGGACCATACCTTGACATGATTTTTGACATAGGCAAGTATACAATATGTACTTCTGGGAAGTCTGGTCGTAATTGTCTTGTTTTTTCCATGAGTGTAAACAGAGTGTATACAGAACACATTCATTTTTGTTTAAACATGATGTTTTATTTATGGTCCAATTGAGCGCAGAAATAATATAACAAACGCTCTTCCGAATCCGTTCGATCCGTTTGGAAGTGGGCGTTAGCGAAAAAACCCCTTTTGAGAACAAGGGTAAAGAATGTATTGGCGAAAAGGTGCAGAATACAACCAATTGTGATGGAAAATTTCGAGAAACGCTTAGGTGTCAAAGAAGTCTTTCTCAATAAAGAAGTATGTGACAGCACGATAAACAGAAGCTCTAATACGCCAAATAGCGCGAATCAGACGATCTGCGAAAGTAGTTACTTCAACATTGGTAAAGTATGGATACACTTTTCAATTAATATAAGATGTATCAAAAGTGATGGAAAGCGGAAAGAAAGCCTACATATTGATTTTTGGAATAAGATAGCCAAGATTGAATGTTTCCCTTGAGCTTTCTTTGACACTTATGAACGGTGTAACACCAGCGAGATTGCATCATTATCAAACTTGAAGTGGGCATCGCATGTTTACAAGGTATCGATATCTGGTCTTGATCTCCACATCGTTGCAATACATAGTAAAAGAATCGTCTTTTGTTGCAGTTTATCGATAGTAAGAGAGATGTTTCTGAAATTGGTTGTAATACACTTTGTCAAAATGGAAAGGACCCAAGTTTCAATTTGTGCTTGCTTTGGTAACTTGACTACCGCTTTTAGCTTTACTTGAAAAAAGCGTCGGATAGTGATATTACTTGCAATTGAAGGCATGCTTGAATATAGAATGCGGAAAACAGAAGCGATTGTTGCCCGGTAAACCTTCAGTTGCTGAATGGAGTACGATTGGTGGTCCATAAAGAATCGCAAAATATTTTTTGGGTCGTAGGCTAAGGAATCGACTTTCGGTTCTTGCGATACATACCAACGTATTCATTTTTGCCAGCCGTGATTATATGTTTGGGATGTTTGCTTCCGAATACGTTAGCTCAGAAAGGAAGAGATGCCCAAGTCGATGCTCAAATCTACATGGTCATGCTGGATAACTTCCCAGCGGCCAACGACAAATACTTGCTCATGCGCACTATATTTAGCGGCAAGTGCACCATATGTAAGATCAAAGGATACCAATACTGTGGTGTCCACAGCGGTATAGTACTGTTTTGTTCCTTGAAAACCCATATTGTTTTCAGAATCAACTTCCAGAGCGGGTGAAAATATAGTGCCTTTTTTGGCCAAACTTGAATGAATGAATCTGTAGCTGCTGCTCCTGGATCTCGTAATCAACTTCAAAAAGCATTTACCTGGTAGTTCTGGCGCATAGCAAAGGTGTCTATCGTCCGTCTCCATCAAAGGTACTCTATTGTCTTGAACATTTTTCTGGGGCCTTCCATTCGTATAGAGGGATCTTCCTTCGGCTGAGTTGATCGTCTTGATGTCCTTCGCTCCTGGGATGCGGTGGTGCAGGAAAGAGGACACACCCTCTCCTCCATTCTTGTTGTCGTTCGATCTCAAGTGCTTGATTAGGTTCCAATGAAGGCGCCAAACATGTAGTAAAGCTTCGTTGATCGCTGGAATTGCCCAACGATGTGTTCTGATGATTGTAAAGGCATCGTTGAACTGAGTGTTTCCATATCACGAAGCTTACTTCGTTTGACCTTGCTCTTTAAGATAGCCCAAAGCTATTCAATGAGATTCATTTCTGATGAATAAACAGAGTGTGTTTTCTCTTTTTATAATTATGGGATCAATCATTGCAGGGACATGGTTCGAAGCATTATTCATGACAATATGAAATCCTTCAATTTCAAGTAACTTTAATTTCAAGTAACTTTTTCTGAGAGTTATAAAATTTCCTTTTTGGGTCAAACTAATCTTGAGAAGGCAATATATTTCCTTTTAAGTCCGACCGCTATTTCCAAGCAATTGTCCAATTGAGGGCGGAACGACTGTAAGCAGATGATTCCTTCTTTAATACTTCAGCTGTCAAGCATCTATAACAATGGTAAAGTGCAAACTACAACATTTATAGAGGGTGAATGGATGGATGAATGAGCAGATGAATGGATTGATGAAGAGAGAAAGAAAAAAAGGCAGAAGAGGGAGAGGGGAGAGTGAGAGAGAACATGTGAATGGGGAATTATGTAAAGGCAATGGAATGCTAATCATTTACAATTTAAATTAGGGTATTGACTTGAAAAAACACCACGTTAAGAACAGCAACCGTACTTCCCCCAAGTCTGACAACGTTTACTTGGCTTTATTGGTCAAGGTACAGCAAAAAAGCATATACGACAATGACACAATTCTCATTTTGCGATTTTTTTTTTTTTTTTCTTAGCTTTACCGTTTCCTTGCTCGTCGTACTGATGCTAAATTCAACAAGGTCGTCTTGAAGCGTCTCTTTATGTCTCGTGTCAACCGTCCTCCCGTCAGTCTTTCTCGTGTTGTTCGCAGCGTCAAGGGTAACAACACCGTCGTCGTTGTCGGTACCGTCACTGATGACAGCCGTCTCCTTGAAGTCCCCAAGCTCTCTGTTGCTGCCCTTCACTTCACCAAGACCGTCAAGGCCCGTATCTTGAAGGCTGGTGGTGAATGTTTGACCTTGGATCAATTGGCACTCCGTGCTCCTACTGGTGCCAACACCATCCTCATCCGTGGTGCTAAGAACGCTCGTGAAGCTGCCAAGCACTTTGGTTTCGGTCCTCACAAGAACAAGAAGCCCTATGTCCGTTCTGAAGGTCGCAAGTTCGAACGTGCTCGTGGTAAGCGTTCTTCTCGTGGTTTCAAGGTTTAGATATCATTTTGTAATAAAACAGCATTGTGCAAAACTTGGAAGCATTTTTTATTGCATATGTAGAAAATATTATTTATTTATACACCAAACAGATTTATTTTCTGGCTCTCTTAGACTTGGGTTTCTCTTCTTCTTCTTCTTCTTCATCTTCTTCGTCTTCAGAGTTTAATTCGATTTCTTCATTTTCATCATCAGTCTCTTCATGACCAGTATAGAATTCAAGAAGGTTAGGAAATACTTCCTCTCTATATGGACAAGCGCACTTAGTATACATGTACGCGTCAGGATAGTATATGTATAAACTTACGAGATATAGACACCGGTTTGAACGTCATCGGAAGCAAACCATTCAAAGAGAGGCATTGGTTGATCATCATCGTCAGCCTTGCGCTTGTTGGACTGCCGGAATAAACATTTAATTCAAATACAGACACACTTATTTCATTCTTACCTTTGCCTTGCCTTCATGGTAGTCAATAGTAGACTTGGAAATGACAGATCCGTTTGATTCGGGGTCAAGGATAAGCTCCTGCATAAAAAAGAGTTAGAAAAATTCAAACTATAGTATTTTAATTATACCTTGGTCAAGACTTCGTTCTTGAAGACGCCGTTCTTTTTGTATTTCTAATTACCCTAGATGAGAAATCATATCTCAAAATAGAAATGCATACTTTTTTTTTTTACTTACAGCGATGTATTTACGATAATTGGGTCTCTTTTCATCAAATTCGACATGGAAGTCAGTCAAATTTTCTAATGCCTATTGTATTTAACAACTGTCAGAAAAAAAACAAAATGATGTGTATGTTATGCCCTTACCTCAATATCATCTTCAGTAGGAGACATACCAAAAATGGTGTTTCCAAGCTACGAAATTCTAAGCACCTTTTTCTCAGGATTTGGTATACTTATTATTTTACTTACAGCAGTAGCATAAAAGTTGGGGATCTTCTTTACAATCTCTCTACGTTTCTCCCAGATAGGCATCATCAATTTACGCTCTTGAATTGCGAGCTGCTCTCTAGCCTTCTCGGTTTCTTCTTGGATAACTCTGAGCTCATCTTCGAGATTGTCGGTAGCAGACATTTTGATTCAATAGAAATAAAACGGAAAAAAAGAAAAGAAAAATGAAAAAGCTTTGTTAAAGGGTTTAATAAACGACGCGTCTCAAAAAAGACGTCCAACCAAGCCATTGTCGTGACTTTTTTGCATGAATTGTTGATGGTTACACACCGCTTAGGAATGAATATTTTACATGAAACTTTTTCATAACCTCTATTAATTTATTAAAACCCTCGACACATAATGAAACTTTTTCAGCACTTACATGACTATTAATTTATTAAAACCCTCGTTTCGTACTTTGAATTTCAAAATCTTTATTGACTAATGTTAGGCGCACGCCCTAAAAATGATATTAGTTACGTCACTTTATTCTTTCGTGTCCTTCTCATCGATTTTATTTGATTCCACGTATCTTTTCATATTTTCGAAAGAAGTATATGTTATCCACGCTTCGTCTTTATCTGATCCCGTAGAAATCAAAAATACTTTGAGATTAATTGAACTGAGGATGCCAGTAGTCATCCTACTGTGGAAGCTATCTTCAATAAACGAACAGGTAGCCGTAGCTTCCGTCATAGAAAACCTTCTGCTACTTTGACATGCAGAAACTGTCGCTGACGTTGGAACAGTGTCAACTAACGGTTCCTCCACCATAGGTAACTGACTTCGCTCAGGTAATGGCTCTTTTTCATTCGTTTCGAATATTATTATCACCATATCAGATGTTAATAAACTGTTAACAAGGTTTGAGTTTGTCAACTTACAGTGCGTGTTTAAAGTGTACTGCTTGGGAATTTCTAGCTTACAGTAGAGCGTACATTCTATTTATCGTATCTGAAAAGAAAAAGGAAAAAAAAACAATAACCAACTTACCACAATGCATATGTGCATAATCATATTAATAACTTATAAAACTCTCACTCAATCTAATTTAATAATACTCAGCTCTTAATGAAGAATCTATTTTGCAAGTCATCAGTTTAACTGTCTTTTTCAATAACAAAGTTGGCTTTCAGTAACTATCTCCTCTGTATTTACCCACCATCCTAACCATATAAACGATTGTTATGGACACATCAAAGCTCATTCCTATCAGAATAAGCCAGTGGCATTTACTTAACGAAAACAAACTATGGAACAATATCTTTTGAGCTTGTTTTTAGAATTGACTACATGGAAGTTTTGGTCAACAGCGGATTTATTGCCTCAATAAATTAAACAAAATTGGTACCGTTTGTCGGTTCAGCTCTACAGCAGTTACCTGGCACAATTTTCACAAGTGTTGAAGCTTTAACAACCAAATAGGTCTTTATTAACAAGGCACAACAAAGCTATGAAACTGGAAACCAAATCATCAACTAGTACTACAAAGATATCTCAACTTTTTCATGATTTCAAGCCACTTAGCTCATTGTGTTTTGATGCTAAACGCATTTGGCTTGATGTTGCTTCACTAGTCAGTAGGGCATACGCCTTGCAAAGAGTAGATATTGATGACATATAAAAATAAATATACCTGTAAAATGAAGGTAAAGAGGTACGAATTTAGTTGAAGAATGGTCACTGATGGGTTTTTAAAAAATTTTCTATGTCTCATAAATAAAAACCAGTAGTTTTTACATCATAAAAAAGACATGCTAATCAATAGATCAACCACGAGAAGTTGGAAGTTCATGTCTGACCTCAAAGGTTTCAAGATGAGCCACGTATTTAGCGTAAAATTTACTTTTCAGCTAGAAGAAAATCATACTAAACTACCCCTCTCTCCTCATTTTATATATTTACTCGTGCACCAAAGCCTTTTAATCGTAGTATGACATCTAAAGTCAATGGTTTATATGTGTGTATTTATTTCGTTATGTACTTTACGATGACAAATCGATGACAAATATGAGCATCATGACCTTTTATACATGTATTACGAACGAGAACTTTGAGGACCTGGCATTGAGATCGCTAGACTTTTTTCGTACTTGAACACAGATAAGCCCTTGTCTTACTTGAGCGTACACAAAAATAGGATGGCGGACTAGTCACGACAAAATGGGGGTTTCTCATGTATGTATTTGAATGAACTATGCTCATGGCTCGATATACAGTTACATCTTTATCGAAAATTATGCATACGATTGCATAAACGCGACATAGATTTTTCAATCACAAAGAAATATATCTTTATTCGTTATTGTAGCGTAGCATATTTACAATTCACCACAATTTTCGATGGTAACTTTGGCTTTAGGTGTACCACTTGCTGAACCCAAAGCTTCAATCTTCTTTACAAGATCCATTCTATAAAGAGTCAGTATTACTGTTACTTTATGTGTCATCTCAGACTTACCCTTCAACAACTTCTCCAAATACGACATGTGCTCCATCCAACCAGCTGGTAACAACAGTCGTAATAAAGAATTGAGAACCGTTTGTGTTCTTGCCAGCGTTAGCCATAGACAACAATCCAGGTCGGTCATGCTTCAATTTGAAGTTTTCATCTTCAAATTTCTCACCTATACGCGTTAAAATAGAAGCTTAGAAGTCGCTCTTTGACAGTAAGTTCTAAAGCTTTACCATAGATGGATTTTCCACCAGTGCCGTTTCCTTTGGTGAAGTCACCACCTTGAAGCATAAATTGAGGAATGATACGATGGAATGAACTTCCTTTGTATCCAAAACCATTTTGACCAGTACAGAGTTCACGGAAATTTCTAGTTGTCTTGGGGACAACGTCATCAAAGAGCCTGAAGACGATACGCTATAGACATTATTTAACGATAAGCTCTCGTGGTTATTTTTGCCTTTATACTTACTCCAGCAGGCTTGCCGTCAATAGTAATGTCAAAGAAAGTCTAATTCATAACTTAGAGTATAGTCCTTATAGACTTTATCGTCTACTTACGTTAGATCCCATGTTTTATTTTAAAGTAGAAAAAGGCAGACAGACAGCCAAAGATGAGTCCTTTTTATGCCAAAACTTGTTTATTCGGAGCCTGAATATATTTTTCCCATAAACTTAATTTTTTTTTACCTGTCAATCATCAAACGTGATATGTACGCACTGTTTCCATACGATAGGCGCATATTATGACAACTCTTGCCATAGTGACTTAGTTTTATTTTTATAAAGACGGACATTTTCTGCAGCAAGTAAACAAAAAAAAGCCCCTCATCTTGCACTACTTGTCTAACCTTTTTTGTATTAACAACGAGATTTATTTTAGGTAAACAGAATGGGTCACACACACAACAAATAAAGAAATCAATACTAAGCTAAATAAAATATACATCATAATTCTCTATTTCACTCTCAATACAGCACGCACATCCATCAAAAAGGAAAGTAGTGCCTCTAAAAATTCAGTTGAGCTCTTGTTTGGTAGTTGCTGCTTAGGTATGGCCATATCTAATGTTCCAAATGCCTCTAATAGACGTGTCTGATACTCCGTTGCTTGTTGTGAGATAACTTGATGAGCAAGCATCATGTACACATCCTATTCAAAATAAGTAATAAACTCACATCATATTTTGTATTTCTTACTCTTTGGACACACATCAACACTAGTAATGCATCTGCAGATGATTCAAGGACGCTGGTATCCAAATGCTCAAACAATAAATTATGCATCAATGTCTCCAAGAACTTTTGCAATGAGGGTTTCAGGAACTCAATGTTGGTTCCATTCATTTGTTGATGCATGGCCCATACAGTCAAAGGTGTGACAGCTCGAAGGGTTAGGATGTTGATTTCTGGTATATCATGCTGAATGCCAAACTGTAAGCTACCCATCAAGTTGTTGAATAATGCAGGTGGTAAACCAGACAGTTTATCCGGGAATAATTCTATTAAATGCGAAATCAATTGCACATATTGGCGGCATAAGGAAGGAATCTAAAACAAGGGTTAGTCTCTTTACGCAAAAACATGACGCATTTTTTCCCTTACCTTGAGCATTTCTAAATCAACCATGGGGATCACAATATTTATACCAAACAAGACAACATCTGCCACTCCTCTATCATTATCTAACCCTTGTTCTTTCCTACTAAAGTCTTCTATACCAGACGCCATCACATTGGAGAGCATGGCCAATGTAGTCGATATATCTTCATACGGCTGATCTTCTTCTTCTTCTTGTGTATGCATTCTCTTCTTGCCTTGATTAGCAGCTCCAAAGGATTGAATAACCTGGTTTATAGCTGCAAATAATGTTTGCTTGTTTTCAGGCGTAAGATATCCAAAATCTAATCGACCAGCAAGATGTGAAAACAAATGAAGGATAGTCAGCTGTACCTCTGGTACACTCTTATAAATGTTCATTAGCTGTATGAAACTATCAAAGAATCGCGCACAAAAGCTGAATATAATCTCTGTGTTGTTGTATTGACAAGCAAGTGCTAAACCATCAAACATCTAACGTACGTCAATACCCCTTATCATAAGGTTTCATTTCATGTACTCACTTCTAATGCATTAATCACATTGTTGATCACTTCACCGTTTTGGTAGTTGCTATGGAATCTGGGGTCATGAAGGACAGCGCTTAGACGCTCCTTTAAATTCAAATATAAGCTACATCATTCACTTTACTTCTTTTGAGACTTACCTCAATCATACTAAACATCATGCCAAAATAATTACTTTTCATTGTCTCATCAGTAGCTCCACTTGAGATAGTAGCAAGGGTTTGTATGAGTGAACTAATATTCAACAAGTAAATAAACTTAGGCCCTGTCATAAGTGATTTTTGCTTACCTGTGAATAACTTCTGGCAATTTTTGCAAATTCTTTGCAAGAAACTCTACTAAACTAGGGAAACGGGCTATATAATAGTTACTACCCATGCTTTACTTTATCATCTTTAATAATTTACCAGACTGCAAAAGCCCTCGTTTCATGTTTGTAGATGCTCCACAAGTATTGAGCCATTGAATAAGCTGTTTGAGTACATCAGGATCTGCGTTCCATAAAACAAAGCTGCTCCTCATGCCTTCGATAAAAAAGTCTATCACTTGCAGTCCTTTCCCATCAGAAGGACCAGGTCTACCAAAGGCCTTGGCAATATTTGGACTATGTATTAAAAAAAGTGTTGGCAAAAAAGAACGATGAGCAAATCTGTCTCTTATACCTAATGTAGCTATATTCGTTTTCATCTATCAACAAATAAGATTTGCACCATCTCTCCAAGTACCATACCAATGTTTCTGCAACACGAGGACTGCAATTAGAAGCTTCAACAGTATTGGAATCAAAGTTAGATGTAAATCTAAATAGTTCAATAAAGGCTTCTGATAAGCGAACAGTTACATCCTGGTCAACACTTTGCGTTCCTGAGAGCTGCATGATACTCTCTGGTATCATCGGCTGTTCGCCTTTTCCAGCATCTGCAAGAACATGTGCTGCGATTAAAATAATCCAGTGTATTTGTTCATGAATAAGAAGAAGCTCTTGAACATTATCGGCATGATTCGTAAAGAATGCTCGAAACTTATCATATCGTTCATAAAATAGTTGATGAAGACGCGCAATACATGGCTGAGGATTTATACGAGCAAGTGTTCCAATGCAGGTCAACTGATCTCCAAATGTGTCCCAATCCTTAAACCCAGCATCAATCTCATCTTCCTCCTCTTCATCTTCAAGAACAGCTTTGGCATGCTCTAGTCGTGTGTTGATATATGTGTCTACTATCTGATAAGAGACATGGGTCAAGTATTGAACAAGGTGTTGTTTTTGGTCTGGTGTCATGCCATCCCAGATACTACTATCAGATACTTTGACCCATGTCTGAAGACATTCATCACAGGCTTCACTTATCCAGCCTTCATCGACTTCTACAATTGTAGCTCCAAGACAACTGACAGTGATATGACCCACTTCATTTAAGAATTGAAAGAAGCCAGGTATAGAACAAAGAATAGCCATGGACGTATTCTCGACCAGGCGTCTAATAATTTGAATAGTACCAAGCATCTGTGGTCCTTGTTCGCTTAAAGCATCAGGTGTGGTACCAAACACAGTGATGCTAAACAAAAACAGTTCAATCGCTTCCTCCATTTTTTTTCTTCTTCTTCTTTGATTACTTACTCGCTCAGCATCTTGCGAACACCATGAATCATCGTTTCGGCATAAGTTCTAATCATGTGTGTGTCATTGTCAAAAAAATCTGGTTTGAACCCGGAAAGCTGAATCAAGCATTGTCTGCATCGATGACCTAACACATCATCGTCCTTTACAGTAGAATAGGTCTATGCAACAGTATGATCAGTTCCAGGCCTTAATGGTTGTATAGTGTGTGTATGTGTGCACGCGCAAGCTAGCTGGACATTTACCATAAAGAACAGCCAAAGGACCTCGCTGTTTCCGATCACAGGTTGCCATCGCTTTGGATAAATCACGTAGCTCTGTTTGACGGAGGATGGTCCATCCTCTTTATCAAAGTCATCCAAATCGTTTTCTTTAGAAAATGTTCCTGCTAATACAGGCTTAGAATCCAATACAAATTCCCAATGCAGAATTTTTTCAATCAATACGATCATCTCTACTAGTTCAGCGGGTGGATCCATATCGATTGACTTTGGACATTGGCTAATGAAAGCGTGAAGCTTTCCAAGAACCTGTTGAAGTAACGGTAAGAGTACGCTTGTCTCAAAAAACAATTTGCATTTGTGATGGTGTTCCCAGGTAAGGCCGATGGTTGTTGCTTTCGTGTTGGAGAATTGGTCCATAAGGGCATTGGCAAATGCTAGACCGAGAATTCGCTACATATACGTTTAGTTCCCCCTTTTTGACATTCTCTTTCTCTCTCTTTCTTACTGCATTTTCAGCTTCCATGCTGATAAGCTCAGTTATATGAAGTAGGATTGTGTCGCTATCATCAAATCTATTATCAAATAAACTACGCTTTGTAATCAGTGCTGCAGCCAAGACAAGTTGTTCACGCACGTATTTCATCAAACTAAAAAGAAAAAAAAAAATACGGTCAACATTACTTGACTATTCTAGAAAAGTGACATACTTTGGTCTTTGTAGGCAATAGTCTAATAAATAGTGCTTCAGCTGACTCAAGTAAGGTAGATCGTAAAGTGAATATTCTCTAACAGCAACGTCGCCAATGGCCAAGGTGACTTGAAACTGAACCATGGGTGATTGTGTATGCTCTAAACAAAGTTTTATTAGCTTGTCCCTCCTACTTGAAGTAAAATTAGGTATATCTTACCGAGAATATATTGACAGATGGGTAGAACATTAGGTATTTGACGAAATTGATTTAGAATCTGTTCTGCAGCTGCTCTTGTAGCCGGGATTTGGAAATCACTGCATGCTTCTTCATACTGTTTTGCAACTATGGCATAGTTTTCTGGTTCTTGATTGTTGCTCATAGCAGATCTATCAAAACAGACAGAAAAAAGATTTCAAAAGTTTCTGTTTTGTATCATCTTGTTGACAATGTGACTTTTTATTTTTGAACTGTTAATAGTCCCCTCCCTTTCTCTTTCTTTCTATGTATATGTGTTGGTATGGCTTGGTAGTTTGATTTCAGGGTTCATTGATATGATCCAAAAACAAGTCTATTGCTTGATGTATGAAATCATTCCCTCTTTCTTTTGATACAGTTATTTTCTATTGTGTAGTTACCAAGCAAAATGAAAGGCTTCCCCCCTTTGCGTATCTTGATGTTGATGGTCACACAGCTTACAATAGACAGTTACTTACATAACTACTGATGTTATATATAAGAACCTTTCTTTTCATTTAAAGACGACAAGAATGTCTTCAAAAAAGAACCACAACTTCTTCAGCTGTCAAATTCAGTTCAATTGAGCTTCCGATCCCGGCAGATTAAGCCTCTTTACCTACTAAGAAACTAAAAAAAAGACATTGAGACTTACCAGTGGGTATTTGAAATAATAAATACTAGGACAAAATGACCAATGTCAGAAGGAATATGTACAATGTGTAAGAGAAATGGATTCTATGAAATTTCTCCCGGTGCGTACATTACATCCTTTCGTTTAAATAACGGATATTATTTACTTAATTAAACGTTCTGACGAGATCAGGACAAAAGAAAAGAAAAAAAACACCATTTTGAGGTCAAGAGTAACAACTGCGAGAATAATGTAAAAGAGAGTGTGTGTGTCAAAATAGATACTGATCAAAGGAACAGATGATTAGTATATCTTGTGGAAATTCGAGGATGTAAGTCTTCTCGAGTAAACAATGACAAAGGATCTGGGGACGGATAGTAGGAGACACAGTCTGTAATGCATATGAAGGGGTTTGATAAAATGCGACCGAGTGAGCATACTAGAAGGACGCTGGGGTTGATCTCCAGGTGGTCAACCAAGGTGCTAACGGATACAGCGGTTACGCTCTTGGTGTATCATGGGTAGCCATAGACTTGGATCAATAAATAATTTGGGACGACAAAGTGAGAGAAGCTTTAATTCACAGCCACACATTTGTTGTAGCAAATCTTGCTGTAAATAGTCTCGTTTGGTGGAGCGAGAGATATGAGTAATTAGCTTGTCATGAGATGTACGCAGGTATTGCCAAAAAGCAGATTTAGAGGGGCTAGACCACCAATGTCCTCTAACGTGTAAATGCAGGAGAAGATAATCAAGTAGAGAACCATCCAGCGCATACAAGGAGCGAGATAGGAACGAAGTCTGTAGAATACATACTCTTTTGTTCATAGTAGGAATGTTTGCCAAGTGCAACATTACTTTGGTAGAGGAGCGATCATGAGCGTCATAAATCATTCACATGTACCTATTTTGGTGCTTTTGAGGTTGCTACAGCTGGGAATTTGAGAACAACTCGATAGCCAGGCCAAACTCCATTTGCGGTTGGACAAAACTAATGGGATTGGCTCCAGTTGAGATGAGAACGTTCATTGTAACGAATGCTTTTGAGCGGTTGCGATTTATCAAGACTTCAGGCTCAATAAAACCATTAGATTTAAATGGGACGTTCAAGTAAGCGAAGGAAGAATGGTGATAGGGGGTCTGGCTGTAAATCTTGTATTCACTTGATTGGAAGATGCTGGGTGGGTCTGAACGTCGTATTGTGCAGGCAATAAACACTTGGTGCCTTTTGATAAGCAAGTGACTTATGGTATCCTCAATAATTGCAATGTTGAAAGGACGATCCACGTTAGAGGGTAAAGTAGGTGAGGCAGCCTCGTATGTTTCCGTATTTCACAATAGATCACCAGAGAAAATAGACTCAAAATGTGTAGTAGAATATTTGGTCTCTGTGATGTAGAAAATTTCGGTTTTAATGTTTGGTTCTTGCAAATTTCGCTGACCTTTACAGATATGGCAGCTTTGATCGAAAGCGGATCAAAATCCACGACGATTGTAAGGGCAACCAAGAAGAAAATGGATCTTTGTGGTGAGCGTAATGAAGAAGTTGAAAATCTTGGAAACACCAAGCTTGTTGATTTTTTAAGAGTAATCGCTGGAGTAACTACAGCCAACGAAATTGCTGCTCAAGCTGAAATTATTTGTGATAATAATGTCATATTTACATGAATCGTGTATCTCAACACTTTAGTTATTCATCCTTAACTAATAGACGACATCAAATATTATAGTCGTTTCATATAGGCTTCTTACTGTTTTGACATATAATGACATAAAATATCACAGATTTAGTGACAAAATTTCAATCTTTTAACAAATGAAGCTCAAATAAGCCTTTATCATTAGCTAGTAATTGTTGTATTACTTGTTTGATCCTGCCAATGTTATTATATCATGCAGTCATATGTAAAGATGTATATCAAAAGGCAAAGCTTTTTGATAATTGAAGTCCCCAGAAGAATCATTGATAACCAATAGTGTGACAATAACTAAATGTACCTGGACTGCCCATCGACTTGTTACATGTGCTTGCCATAAGATACTTGTCACGTTTGCCCTGTAAATGCTTAATCGTATGAGATTTCTCTAAATCTATATCCGAAGAATGAATAATATAAAGAAACTTATAAAAATACACGCTATTAACATATAACGCGTCATGTCCAATTTTCGTTGGCCATAATTAAATCAAGTTGTCATATAAATGACGCTGTTTATAAAAATGAGCTCTATCTCGTCTTAGTATACAATAAAGAGGCTATATAGAGACTCATTAACATACATTTTCCTTGTTACTTTATATATTGAGACGTATCACAATGCTGTACATCTACTGTGCGTCTTTATTTGAAATTTTTACAAAATTGTATTCACGGTCTTGTAGTACAATAGCAGCGCCTAAACTTATTCTTTAATTCAAACATCGCTGGGGTGCTTCACTTCACATCGTTACTTTCGGACAATTTTTTAGTTTAGGGGAAAATATATTCAGGCTCCGAATAAACAAGTTTTGGCATAAAAAGGACTCATCTTTGGCTGTCTGTCTGCCTTTTTCTACTTTAAAATAAAACATGGGATCTAACGTAAGTAGACGATAAAGTCTATAAGGACTATACTCTAAGTTATGAATTAGACTTTCTTTGACATTACTATTGACGGCAAGCCTGCTGGAGTAAGTATAAAGGCAAAAATAACCACGAGAGCTTATCGTTAAATAATGTCTATAGCGTATCGTCTTCAGGCTCTTTGATGACGTTGTCCCCAAGACAACTAGAAATTTCCGTGAACTCTGTACTGGTCAAAATGGTTTTGGATACAAAGGAAGTTCATTCCATCGTATCATTCCTCAATTTATGCTTCAAGGTGGTGACTTCACCAAAGGAAACGGCACTGGTGGAAAATCCATCTATGGTAAAGCTTTAGAACTTACTGTCAAAGAGCGACTTCTAAGCTTCTATTTTAACGCGTATAGGTGAGAAATTTGAAGATGAAAACTTCAAATTGAAGCATGACCGACCTGGATTGTTGTCTATGGCTAACGCTGGCAAGAACACAAACGGTTCTCAATTCTTTATTACGACTGTTGTTACCAGCTGGTTGGATGGAGCACATGTCGTATTTGGAGAAGTTGTTGAAGGGTAAGTCTGAGATGACACATAAAGTAACAGTAATACTGACTCTTTTTATAGAATGGATCTTGTAAAGAAGATTGAAGCTTTGGGTTCAGCAAGTGGTACACCTAAAGCCAAAGTTACCATCGAAAGTTGTGGTGAATTGTAAATATGCTACGCTACAATAACGAATAGAGACCTATGTCTACTATATCGCTTTTGAAAACCCGTGAGTTAAAGCTAATGGTATATTTCTTACATGGTTGTATATCTATATTCTTCATGAATCCATCAAATAAAAAAAATACTTTGGAAAATCTACCTTTGAAACTGACTATATGAATTGGAGGTCTTCTCAATGGGAGGAACATCAACAGAGCTAACACTCATAAGTAAATCATAAATTCAAACTGATGACAAATTACATCCATTAAAAGGCAGTTTTATTTTTTTGACGTGTAATTCAAGTTAAGAAGGCGGAGGGGAGATGACAATAAAAAAAATTCAAGCGACTAAAGCTTTGGAAAGGATGTACATGTAACATCTTATAAAAACTGTCTTCTATGTAAAAAACTGATCAAATCATACTTGGTAGCTACCCCAAGACACCATTTACGGTTAGCATCAGTAATGACAGCAAAGGAATTTTTTTCAAAGAATTTAGCTATATAAAGGGTGAGATTAGGATGAATCTTGACGCTTTTATATTATATTACCAAGGTCTGCCAGGCTTGTATCGGGCGTGATAACTTGATACTTCTTATTGCCTTCTTTCTTGAAAGAAAACATGCATGATTCAACCGTACTGCTCAAGTCGGCTGTGTTGTGAACAAGATGTTCCTGTAGTGAACTTAGAGAGACATATCCTACTAATTTTCTGTTCAATGGGTTGATGACAGGTAATTGGGAGTACTCCCTTTCTAACATAAGATCGATAGCATGACCAACGGTGCAAGTTGGTGGGATTGTTACTGCTGCAGGAAGTTGGAGATCCTCAACACTGGCAGCTCTATATCTGCTCTGAGAGAGATACTCTAACTCATGTGTCATCAGATCATCAGCCAGATCATTTTCAAATAACCAATCATCGGATAATAAGGTGGAGGTATAGTTTTTAGCGCTATCATTCAGGATGACAACTGATTGGAAAGTATGAGTGCTATGGTCAGATACAACAGTTTGAGCATGACGGGCTGCTGCGGTAACCACTGCTCCAGAAGAGGGTCCGCAGAGAATGCCTTCGTCACGGATCAAACGACGAGCGGCTGAGAATGCTTCTTTATCTGATATTTTTATCCACTCATCTACGATGCTTTTGTCTAAGCTCTTGGTTACAAAATTATTTCCCAAATCCTCAATTTTCCAATCCTGAAAACAATAACAAATTAATTTTAAAATGTGTGAATAAAACAAGTATTACATATCGGTTAGCCAGCTTGTCCTGTTCACCACTCAAGACAGAATCAGTAGGCTCAACTCCAATAACCTAATCCAAAATAAGGGTTAAAGAGAGTCTCTTTTTTTTCTTTCTTTCTTTTTTACCTTGAGTTCAGGAATTTTGTCTTTTAAGTATCTTGCTACACCTGTCAACATGGCACCTGATTCAGCGCCAACAAACAAAAAGTCAATTGCCATCTTTGTTTGTTGAAGTATTTCCTCTGCCAGGTCATGATAAGGCTTGTAATCACGTAGTTTGGTTTCATCCATAACGACAGCATCTGATAGCTGTTCAGCGAGTCTTGCAGCTACCGAATAAGCACTCTCTGCTGCATCAGGTTTGACTTCATTAGGTGATCGCAATATTTCTACACCCAGAGCCTTTAATAAAGCAATACGATCATTTGAGGTACGTTCAGGCAGGATGCTAATAATTCGATAACCGCGTCTGGCTGCCAAAGTTGCAATTGAGATACCCAAGTTTCCACTGGTTGGAATAATCAGTGTTTTTATCTCTTTGTCAACTGAGTTATTCTTTTCATGCTCTATTCGATTATTTAGTTATTCTTTCTTTGATGACAAGGTAGTTTTACCATCAAGCAAGTATTTTGCAAGTCTATCTTTGACACTTCCAGTGGGGTTAGTAAACTCAAGTTTTGCTAAAATATTGACTATAAGGTAGTGAGTAATAGAATCAATAATACAATATAATAATACCTTTATTCTGAGGAGTAAGTCTTATCATAGGTGTTGAGCCTATGCTTTGACTGATGTTATCAACAATTGGAGGAAGCATATGTTTTATAATAAAAAGAGAGAAAAAAAAAAAGATAAAAAAGAGATGAAAATGAAAGCCAGCTCTTGATCTTTCTAGCTTTCTTTTGATCTCCCTTGATCTCTCTCTCTCTTTTTCTCTTTTCTCTCAGTTTCATTTGTTGAAATAATCAATACGCGATTTTAAAAAAGATGATCTCTTTATATTTTTCTGCGAGATGACATATAAATACTTTATTGAAATTTGCATGATAATAACAATAAGGATAATAATAATACTATCATATTTACCGATTGTGTACATGAATTATTTACTATGGTTATTATGACTAATCAAGGGCATATATTCAAAAAAAAAAAAAAGGAAAGAGAGCAAGAGAGTAAGGCTAGGGTGTAAATAAGGAGTTTCAATAGGACATCATATGGGGTGATCACATGCATATTCAATATTTATGCGGGCAATACGTCGTCCTTTTTCTTTTTTTCTTTTACATTTTATACATATTTTTTTTTTTACTGCGGCTATTTTTATATTATGCGCTCCAAGTTTAAAGACGAACATCCTTTTGGTAAGTTTTATTAAAGATAATAAAATAGATACTAAAAAAGCAAATAGAAAAACGTAAAGCAGAGGCAGAACGTATTCGCCAGAAATATCCAGATCGTATTCCTGTTATTTGCGAGAAAGTTGAAAAGAGTGATATACCCATGATTGATAAAAAGAAATATCTTGTGCCTGCAGACCTAACAGTGGGTCAATTTGTATATGTCATTCGAAAAAGAATCAAATTGAGTCCAGAGAAAGCGATATTTATCTTTGTTAATGAAATATTACCACCTACAGCAGGTAAAAATACTCTTTTTGCTTTTAAAGCAGATAATAATGTTGTTATTTAGCCCTCATGAGTTCTATTTATGATGAGCATAAAGATGAAGATGGATTCTTGTACATCACGTAAGTTCTTTTTCTGTTTTTCTGTATATACACTTTTTTTTTGTCTAATCACTTTCTTTTTCTCTAGCTATTCTGGTGAAAATACGTTTGGCCATTAATACTTTATAATAAATTGTTTGTGATATATATATATATAAAGCACTGGCAATGTATATATATAGAGAAAGTAAAAGACATGTCGTTGCATATATATAAATGTATGTATATATGAATATGTGTATGTGTGCTTTTGTAGGTGAGTGTGTATAGGTGTATGTGTGTGTAGAAGTAATAGTCTAATTGTAGTAGAATGTCGTATACATGGAGAATATACATAATTCGCTTTTAATGAATATAAACAATTAAATGTTCAATTTGGTATGACGCCAGTTACGTCTCTTGGCATTCCAACTAACATAAAAAGAATCAGAATGAAAGGAGTAAAATGTGAACAAAAATGTCTATAATTTACCGAATCTTGGTGTCTGTCTTAAGACGGAACCAGTGAGGCAAAGGGCGGTTCTGCTTTTTGGCCTTGCCGAGCTTAACCTTGGTGATGAATGACTTTTGAGAAGGCTACAATATCATCCATAACAAAGATGAATACATCCATCCATCTTTCAATCATCTCTTTCTTTGGGTTACCATTTTATCTTTGTGCGGGTGAAAGAAGGGGGGATGGATGTTTTGTGGTGACCCCCAAGTCAAGCATTGTGTTCCAGCAGTAGGAGCAAGAGGGGGGTCATGTGCTGAGATTAAAAATACCATATACATCTCAATGCAATGCTCTTTAGCTCTAGTACATGATGATAAGTATAGACTCAAGCATTACCCATAGAGTTTACACGCATACATTAACTATGTTGATTTAAATAAGCGTATGACATTTGATCTTTTTCTTTTTTCCTTTTGTTTGCTCAGCATGGACATTGACTTGATTAACTCTCATTTATCTTTGGCTTTTGTTTTTTTTCATTGCTATTCGATATTTACTACCTTTACGCTGTCATAGATACTACGCGTATAATATCAGGTCGTTCATACTCTTGACACTTAAATTTCTTGTTATCATATATCTCAACAACTTCAGGACACGCTTAAATCACCACGGAAATGAGATATAGGATCCCAAGGACCAATCAAAGTGGCTGTGCGATGGCACCCTCACCATCAAAGGTTCCTCCTCTCGTCAAAGATAGATGCCTTGATAATATTTTATAGCCTGATTCAATATAGAACATCAGGATTGAACGAATATTAATTGTTGCATAAACATCTCTTTGCCAGACCTGTTATTATTCTCGTTAGGACTATTTTCGCTTGCTTTATGGCCAAGCACTTACAATATCTTGGCCATTACTAGCTGGCGCAGTTTGCAATGTTTCAACTGGTGAATGGCAGGTGGGAAATTTATAGGCATAGCTTAGCACCAATCAAACTTAATTTCATATATTATACGACTTACTGCCTGGCCTTCTTTCTGGACACTATGATACTCGACAGATGACATGATAGTTATCGTCTAAGCACTATTATGCAGCATTCTTTTTTCCTCCTAGACGTAATCGTTTTTTTTTTTTCTTTCGGAACATAAAGAGACTTCATGTCAGCAATTGTAATTTGATCATATCAATTACATACCAGTGATTGCACACTAGTGTCTGTGCTTCATACTTTTGGCCCAGCTTCCTATAACATTTGCAACAAGTAATGCTTGTTCGAAATTCATCGACAGGGATAACAATTGCTTTTTTTGCCAGTACCCTTTGTGTCCTCTGTGTATAAACGAGATCATTAGTACGTACGATTAGTTAAAGGTTCTGTATTAGTATACCTTTACTGGTGTAGATGTATACCCTTTCTTCGTTCCTGATAAGCTCGCATCGCCATACGCAATCACTATTCTCCTGCCATCATCAGCCTGATTTGCTTGATTACTCTTTTTAAAGGATCTTCTTGCTTTCTGTCTTATTTTTGTGCTTGTCTTATGCGCCAACGCGCAAGAGGCTCCAGGAGAGGCTTTCGCCAGCACAAGTTGACATATGTAATCATCTGTAATTTTTCAATTGCTATACAAATATCCTTTTGTTTCACAATGCCTGTATCCCTTCATAAAGCAAAATATCTATATATTGCAAGAGTTAAGCACGATAATAATGATCATGTAGCTACTTAGTAACAACAATTACATTTTGGCGACAAGTCAAAGGACTTTCATTTGCTATACCAGAAACAGTAGCAGTATCAAGGTACTTTGTCTATATTAACTCATGACAGTGATCGTGTAGGCTTTGTCATCTCTTTCACTTCTTTTATTGTTGTTTTGAGTGGAGAATTAAAGACGATGAAACGAGAAGTCTGATAAAATGAACTTTAAGCATGAACGAATCATCATCGCCAATATCACTAGCTGTTTTAGGTTGTTTTCAAGATCCCTGTCCACATTTGGTCAGAGAACATTCGACTTTCACTGGAAACACAGCAAGAAACAACACTGCTTATAGAGGCATGGCAGCCGCAATGAAGAGTTTGATGTATGGGAGACCAAAAGGGGTTATTTACTTAGAGGCTTTTATAGCTCCAAAAAACTCTTGGTAAGCATTAAAAAGCTTATAATGTACCTTTTTGTGATTCTATCTTAAATATAACAAGTTCATACATTGGTCTGCTGCTTACTAACCACAAATTTTCATCAATATGGAAACTAACAGCTATATTGAGAGTTGGCACAACTAATTGAAGACAAATTATTTACAAAGAAAGAGGAGCAGAAGGCTGGATTGCTTAATCTTTATCTTGGTTGATGATGTCCATACCGATTTTATGCACAATACTGCAAGAATGACCGTCAATATCGGACGTATGAGCTCAGAGACTAGAGAGGCAAGAAAGAGAATGATTGCAGCAGAAGAGATTAATGAGCTGTCATTAGAAGATATGGTGCAGAAAGTGTATATTGATGAAGAAGCTTGTTATATTGTCAAGTCTTTTACGACGGAAGTTGTATACAATATATCAACTGAGCAAGGAATGATGACTATATATAACCGTATAGGCTTTCAATGAAATACACATGCCTGTAAGCATATGTATTTGGTTTATCGCTTCGATAAAAGCTGTGTGGTTTACAGCCAAGGTAAATTGTCACGATAGTAATAAGAGAAATGCTACAGTGTTCTTACGACATTACCTAGAAATTGATTCTAGCTTGAGAGTTCATACCATGGATGAGACAATACTTATCCAGAATACTGTGGAGAGTAATGTTATCGAAGCAGTTACTGGAAGCTCTGATATGCTTCAATCAGAAGTACCGTCTGAAGCTGGAAGTAGAACGGATGAGTTGTTGACAAGCATCACAAGTGTATGCAGACAAGCTTTAGAAAGTCGTGTACATTTAACTTTTGAAAATAACAACAGATTGTTACAAATATATAATGAATTAAGACAGTTGTTTTCAGTTAATGAAGAAATGCAGCTTCCACCAAACATAAATATGCAAACGCAAAGAAAATGAAGCACAACAATTTCAAACCACGTCACTACTTTCTTTCTTTCTTTCTTTCAATAAATAAATGGAAAGTCAGTGGACAGAAGTTCAAAACATTTGTGATGTCAATACAAGCAAAGTTTCACCCATATCTGCTTTATGCTGGGATCCATATCACGAGCTATTATGGGTTGGCAATGACTCTGTAAGAAATATAGTAATTCTTTTTACTTGAAAGTTTATGCATTATATAGGGACGAGTTGTATCCTATTACGGAAAGGGACTTCAGCGATATACTTCTTTCAAAATGCATAGTGACCAGCAAGTTAGACAGATACGAGTGACAGATAGAAGTATCATCAGCCTAAGTCCAAAAAGCATACAAATGAGAGACCGTCGAGGCCTTGTGAAATGGAACATTAGGTTTGAATTTATTGAATAAAACATTTATTTACTAAATGGGGACTTTATAGTAACGAGCAGACAAAGAACTTACATTGTATGACCTCGACTACACTCACCAATGGCGAACTACTAGTAGCAGGTCAACAGGAAGATATGTTGGTCGTCAGCGCGGCTCGAGGAGTGATCACGAGAACCATCAAAGGTGTATCCAACATCGTCGTCTTGAAAAGTATGCCTCGTTCGATCTGTGCTGGTTCATTATTGGGTGAGGTGACTCTAAGAGATCCTAGAACGATGAAAGTGGAACAACGCGTGCAGGCACATACAGCTACTTTGTCTGATTTGGATATATCTGGTAATTTATTATTGACCTGTGGCTTCTCTCAAAGGTATCCTTTAAAAAAAAAAAGAATGGGGATTAGTAGTGTCTATTGGACAGGGCGAGTAACTTGATATATCTTTTTGCTTCAGACAAGGTTCCCTCATCATGGATCCGCTCGTCAAAGTGTACGATATTCGAATGGCCGTACGAACACTCGCACCTATCCCATTTCCAAGTGGACCCATGTTCTTAAAGATGCATCCAACCCTCAGTACAACTTGTCTAGTTGCCTCTCAAACAGGACAATTTCAGCTTTGCGACGTGTCAAGTTTAACCATGGGTTCATATGGATTGTCAGCACAGTTCTTCCAAGTTCAGACATCAAGCTATATCACAGCTATGGACATATCCAGCTCTGCACAGACAATAGCGTTTGGAGATGGAAATAGCATGATATTTCAATGTGCAGATCGTGAGGACTTTGATGTCAATCCTTATTCACTTCCCCTGATTGCCCCAGATATCGTGCAACCACCAACCACGGCATTATCAGAAGACACATCCTTATCAAATATCGGCATGCCATATTATACAGATCCATTGTTATCTGTTTGGCCAAATACAACCGTGTATGAAGTAGGTCATCAACCTGCACATCTCGATGAGGAGATTTTGAAAAACATGAAGACGATCGACTTTGTAGGTTATGCGCCTAATCCTGGCAATATACACAGAAATCAAGCACCTCGAAAGAAAAAGACGAATGCAAAGAGAAATGTGCCCAAGTTTAGATCAGAACAAGAAAGGGAATTACTACAGTCAAAGAACGGCCTTTTGGATCCAGACGATTTATCACACTCTGGCAGAAGATCATCTTCCGTAGGAGATTTGTCCGCGAATGATCCTACAGTGACAATCATGCCTAGATATTACCATCGTGTTGAAATTCAGTATAGTAAATTTGGTGTAGATGATTTTGACTTTGGATATTATAATTCCACTCCCTATGGTGGTCTAGAGACACACATTAGAAATTCTTACTGCAATTCGTTTTTACAGATGCTCTACTTCACTTTGCCTCTGCGAATGATAGCCAAATCACACATCAAAATCTCTTGCCCCAAAGATAACTGTCTCTTGTGTGAGCTCGGTTTCTTGTTTCGTATGCTCGAGGATTCCAATGGCCAAAACTGTCAAGCGACCAACTTTTTGCGTGCCTTTAGCACTATACCCCAAGCTAATGCTTTAGGTCTATTTGAGCCAGAGACGCCTACCCGAGGTCTGTCCTATTCTCTGCTCATACAAAATTTTACTCGTTTTGTGATGGAACAAGTTCATCAAGAATCGAATGTGCCTGGAGATAATCCGTTGATATTCAAACCTTTGATTAGAAAAATTGTTCAAGTGCCTAGTGGAGAAACAGAGTGTCTTGATACTCCTTCGACCATGCAGCAATTATTTGGTCTTCAGACAGTGAGCCAGAGCCGGTGTAGTAATTGTTTAAATCAGGTCTCTAGAGTGACTTATCCATTTGTTGTGGATTTGCTGTATCCTAAAAAGGTATGCCCCATACATTCCATGCTATGGGTATACTAATGTGTGTTGCTATAGAATGACAGGAAATCCAGAAAGAGAACTTTTGCTAGTATATTGAAAGCAAGCATGTATAGAGAAAACCAAACGAAAGCATGGTGTTCACATTGTCGCCAGTATCAGCCAACAGCAACCAAGAAGGTGATCTGCGGGCTGCCTGGTGTCTTGCTGATCAACTCTGGAGCTGCCAATAGCGACGAATCTGTTGTCTGGAGACAAAACGGACCGAATGTTACCAAGACGGCGCCTACATCTACACAGGAACAAGTTGAAAATGAACAAAGTGGACCAGCTGAAGAGTCACCGGCGTTCACTTCTTGGTTACCTGAAAGGTAATGCGTACATAATACATACATGTTTAAATATTAAATAATCAAATTTAGAATTGGTATTCGAATTAACAACTGCGAGCTTACGATCAAAGCACTTCCTATTGGAAAAGAGATACCCCCAGAATTCAAAGAGTCACCTGAAAAATGCGCCATCTATGAACTGTCAGGTACTATTCTTCAAGTACAAGCAGATGAAGATTTGCCGCATTTAGTTGCTCAGATAAAAGTTCCTGAAGCCGAGTTAGATCAAGAAGCAAAGACACCATGGTATTTATTTAATGACTTTTTGGTACACAAAATTCGACCAGAGGAAGTGTACTCATTCAAAGGCACCTGGAAGACACCTGCTGTCATCCAATACACTCGAGTAAACCTCGACAGTTTACTGGATTTATCTATGCTACCATCCGAAACGGATTATTCGCTATTATTTAAGGACCTTTCTATCGCCAAGGAGCCTAACCCAGACCCTCAGTATGAAGTACTTTCACCTGACGAAATGCCTAAAAAGGGCACACTCGTAGCAATTGATGCAGAATTTGTTGCTCTACAACAAGAAGAAACAGAAATCCGCAGTGATGGCACAAAGTCACTGATTCGACCCAGTACGCTCACATTAGCTCGCGTGAGTGTGCTGAGAGGAGACGATGGTCCAAAAGAAGGTGTACCGTTCATTGATGATTATATTTCAACAACAGAACCCATTATAGATTATCTGACAGAGTTTAGCGGTATCGTAGCTGGAGATCTTGATACAGCCTTATCCAAGCGCACACTTGTGCCATTAAAGGTAGCTTACAAGAAGTTACGCATGCTTGTAGATTTAGGCTGTATTTTTATTGGTCATGGCTTAAACAAGGACTTTCGAATCATAAGTATGTGTGTGCATTCTGAAGCAATGTATAAATCAGGCTAACATAGGGGATCTTTTAGATTTACTCGTACCACCGGAACAAATTATTGATACTGTTGATATTTATCATATTCGCAACAGGCAGCGCAAAATATCACTAAGATTCTTGGCATGGCATTTACTAAATCAAGATATTCAATTGGAAACTCATGATAGTATTGAAGATGCACGAACAGTAAGTTCTATATGGCTCATATTAGAATCTTTCTTTCTTATCTCGTTTTTAGGCTCTTACACTATACAAGAAATATCTGGAATACAAGAACAATGGAACGTTTGGTAAAGTATTAGAGGAAATCTATGATGCAGGCCATAAATCAAATTGGCTCAAAGGTGCCAAAGAGATTAAATCAATCAGCAGTGCAGAAGTAACACCTTCTTTATCAAGTTCTTTACTATCCTCTAATTATTGGCCATCACAAAACATATAATATAATAATAAAAAAAAAGTATATCAATCTGGGTAGTTGACACTTTTATTTAGAAGAGAAGGGGAGAGTCTATTTTTTTTATTTTTATTTTTGTGTGGATAAATTAGATGGCAACTGGAAAGCTAAGAAGAAAAGTAATGCAAGACTTCTTTAAAGAGAAGCAGATAAACAAGACAGAATGGATCTGTTGTCAAATTACATATACCTGCATTGCTGATATCGGTCGACATGTCAACGAGGCACATGTCGATGATCTTGACAAGATGGAAGAAAAAGAGCTGGATCGACTCAAGCAACAAGAAGAACAACAAAAGATCATGAATGCTCTTCGACAAAGACGAGGAGAAAAAGGCTCTTCAGATCCGATCAGAACAGACTGTGATTGCAATATGGATGAACACAAGGTCATTCTATTCTATCGTTATGTTTCAATAGACGATCCTGTCCAATTTGCCTTGGACCATCACCAGTACTGTCAGGGTATGCGCGGTAAGGTCCGTATCGGACAGGAGGGCATCAATGCAACGTTGGCTGGTCCAAATGAAGATATCGATACCTACTTGAACTGGCTAACACACACGGCCCCATTCAGGGACACGCCAGATGAGCTCAAGGTGCCTCAGCCACTCACAGAACGAGATTCACCAAGATACCGGTTCTTCAAGCCATCCAAAGGATGTAAGCATGCATTTGCCGAACTTTCGATAAAGGTGGTGGATGAAATCTGTCCTTTGGGTCAAACCTCTATTGCCCTTGATCACCTCCAGGATCCTGCTCACAGACAGGGCAAACTCTCGCCTCAGGACTTTCATCATATACTCTCAAGACGTCACGAAGATGACTTTTTGCTGTTGGATACCCGTAACTACTATGAAAGCAAGATTGGTTACTTTGAGGGAGCCATTAAACCGGCGATACGAAAGTTTAGTCAGTTTCCAGATTACATCAATAGAAACAAAGAAGTCATGCGAGGAAAAAAGATCTTGACGTATTGCACAGGCGGTATTCGCTGTGAAAAGGCCACAGCCTATATGCGACAGGCATTACCAGAGGATACACAGATATTTATGCTCGATGGTGGTATACATAATTATTTGGAATGGTGGAGCAGCCATGAGACGACTAGTAAAGATGAACGACAGCCTATATGGCAAGGCAAGAATTATGTATTTGATGCTCGTCAGTCGCTAGCTGTTAGTGATACGGGTATAGCAAGTCAATGCGAGAAATGTCACAAGCCCTGGGATCAGTATAAAAAGTGTGCCAGTAAAAACTGTCATCTGTTGGTGCTGCACTGCGACGAATGCTCTCCAGATGCTATTGCCTACTGCTGTTCCAAGTGTCAGGAAGGCCAACTGACTGGTTTGTGTTCATGCGAAGAACAAAGACGTATAGAAGAGCATAAGTTGATTACTATTACATAATAAAAAGAAAGTATATGTATATTTTTATTAAACATGAAGGGATACTCTTTTTTTTTTCGGTTGTATATATTCTATTTGTTTTCTCTTCTAGCAATTGCTTTTGCCTTATTATCAGCAAAGAGGTGTTTGGTAACTATTTCGATAGCATAAGCAATACCAAAGTCAAGGACCATACAGAGTGTCAATTTGTAGCGGAACTATTCAAAAACAAGAATTAGTAAAGGCACTCCACCAGTCAAACAAGCACCAGTTCACTTACCGATCCAGGGAATTTAACTAATTGAAGTTGTTCATTGACTTCGGGCCAAAGTTCAGTAGCACCAGCCAATGCGACACCACCAACAGACATCAAACCATAGTAAAGAGCCTTGTTATCCTGAATACGTTCACGGAAAGGATGGCCCTGATAGTTGATTGCAAAAGTTGATACTTGCATAGACAATTGGATAAGGTAAATAGCGCTGTTCAATAAACTTGGCTCAAAATCGCCTTCAAGGTCAACTTCCTTTTGTCTAAATAAGCAGACTGTTAGCAAAGCTATTTAATATCTGTGTATTCAACTTACGGCTCCAAAGATTTTGCAAGAGCGTTGATATAAACCAATGAGGCAATATGAATAGCAAATTGACCCAAGACAGACAAGATGATATAGGGATTAAAGATGTTTGGTTGAGGCCTTTCCTTTGACAGTTTGTCAAGAGGCTTTCCTCTTGAAATACAAAGGAAGCAAACAGCCATGAGCATACCAGAGATGGTATGCTGGTAATCGCCAAACTTAATTCCATCAAGATACAAAACAGATAAACTGTAAGCAGAAATCAAACAGTTCAAAGCCAAAATCTTGTACATTTGGATGGTTGCAACAAGTGTACATCTTCCTTGACGGATGATATTGTTGATTGAAGTAACGCTACGAAGCTTAGATGTGAAGGGAGCGGCCACAGAGGCATCACCAAACTTGATCGTGGGTGGTTCTTCCATATCCATGCCTTCCATCATTCGCTGAGTAGCCTCTTCAATCTTTCGCTTTTGTTCCATCTGGCGACGTTGAGCAGGTGTCAGGTTTTGGTTTTGCTGTTGAGCAATTTGTGCTGCAAATTCAGGGTAAAGATGAGCAATGGCAGGTGGAGGTGGAGGAGGAGGCTGATTGAAACGAGCGGCAATACTCTTTTGCTGTTCATACATGATCTTCATACGTTCAATACGTTGGCGTTCAGCAATCTTTTGAAGGTCTTCCATTGTACCGTCCAAGAGAGCAACACCAATATGAGCTTGCTTCAATGCGCCAACGTCATTTGTACCATCGCCAGCCATTAGGGTGGTGTATCCGAGATCCTTTAAGCCGGTCAAGATGTACTCCTTTTGTGAAGGAGAAACTCGTGCGTAAACCCAAGTATGCTCAAGAATTACATTCATGTTTTCCTTGTTCAACATGAATTGGCTCATAGCGGATCCAGTCAAGCAAAGGTCATAGTTGTCCAAAACTTTGCTGTCTAAAGGCTTGGTAGGGTCAAATTCAATTCGGTAGCTTTCATCAATAGAGTGAAATACAACAAGGTTATCCTTTCTGGTCTCATCTCTATCGACAATCAACACATCGCGTTCAATAATAGCAACATCACGAGCAACAGCACAGGCAGTCAGAGGATTATCGCCTGTAATCATGATACAACGGTGAGAGGATTCATTGAGTTCCTTGAGGGCAACAACAGCGTCTTCCTTGAGCGGGCAAGTAAATACGATGAAGCCAGCAAAGATCAAGTCAGATTCAACAGATTCACGAGCAAGGTCATTGATTTCATTAGCGCTTAATTGAGTGTCAAGTATTTTATAGCCAAGTGCCAAGACTCTGCTACCCTTACTAGTGAAGTGTCTATAGATATCAACATACTTTTCAGGAACTTGACTGTACATGGTTCTCAATGTTTCAGGAGCACCTTTAACTGCAACAAACGTTTTAGGACCACTCAAGGAAGGATGAACCAAGGTTGAAACAGATGATTGGCGTTTAAGAGCAGAGGAGAATTGATAACGACGACGAATTTGCAAATGCTGGGATCGCTTTTCTCCTTTGGGTGCAACAATGTCATTGGGTAACAATTCCCAGCCAAGTGCCTTGAGAGTTTCCTTCTCCATAGGATCACCAACGATACCATCTTCTAACTGAACCAATGCATGAGCGCTGGCCAATACCCATTGTGTTTCCTTGGGAACTTCAGTAGCAGTTGACAAATCAGTAGTTGGCTTGGAGGAATCGGCAAAGGCAACACCTTCAAACACGAGATCTTCGCCTGTCAATGTACCTGTCTTGTCAAAGCAACAAACATCCACTCGACCAGCGAAGGGAATACGGAATGGCTCAGTGCAGAAAATGGCAAACTTTGAGAGAGCAACCAAACTGCTGTTAACAGCCAAACTTAATTCCATAGGAAGTTCAGGAGGGACAACAGAAGTGATGATCAAGATACAGTCGAGCAAAAGCTTTGAACGCTTACGATCGTTTTCAACACCCTTTTGCCATACATAAGCAGATGCAGCAATGGCAAAGATCAACAAGAAGAGGATGAACAACAAAGCTTCAAAGTTGTTGGCAGAGACACGTTCAGTAGAAAAGATCATTGTGCGAACAAGTTCACCTTGAGAAGTGCCAAAGCCAGTACGTGCGACAACACATACACAGCCATGATCAGGAGGAATTTCAGTCTTGGGTGGTGATACCTGAAGTACTTTAGTACCGCCGTAGAGAACATTCAATCTATCAGTTGCGTTCATGTCAAATTCTTCTTCAGAGTGTCTAAGAGCAACAGATTCCTATATATAATGTTAGTTATTTGTCTCTAGTAGAGTAGCTATTTTTTCGTTACCTTGATCAATGGTGTAGATTCACCAGAAAGCATGGCTTCGTTAACAATGCAAGAACCATCTGCAATAACTAAATCACAAGGCACGCCTTGGTCTTCTTTTGTACGTACAATAGATACAACATCTCCAGGCAACAGTTCATCACTCTGGATCTGAATCCATTTTCTCTCTCTCTTGACATAAACAGGATAGGGCTTTTGATTCATGCCACGGAATTCACCAATGGTACGAAGACGTTGATAGACTACGGTACATTCAAAGACAACCAACATGACAAGCGTGAAGAGTGAATAATACCAATATTCGTCTAAACACCAAAGGCCAACACAGAAAATTTGAAAGACAAAGAAAGGTGCAACAGCATGTTCTTTGAAGAGTTCCATAAATGTAGGCAAGGGAATATCAAACCTAAAGAGGTACAATCGTTAGTACATATATATTATAAAAATGTTACTTTACTTGTTCATTCCGTATGTATGAGCAAGATATTCAATTTCCTTCTTTGTTGTCAATCCTTTTGTATTTTGGTAGGGTCCAACGGTGTGATTGGTGTCTGCAGGATAAAGAAGTTGTTCGAATTGCTTCTTGTCAGGATTCCAAATAAATTTCTTTTGTTGGAAAATAAAAGAAATCTCATCTTCGTTGGTATCAATTGACTACATTATGTCATTTTAGTTTAATTACGACTTCATATATACTCTCTTTCTCTTTGTATACCTTGCTGTGTTCTAAATCGACCAACATGCCTTTACCTTGATAGCGATAGGGCACAATCTTGATAATGCTTGCCTTATGAACATCTTTTTCCTAAAATAACTAAGTATAGCATAGCTTTGATAGTCATATTCTGACTTACTCTAATACATGTAAAAAGTGCCTTTAAATCAACACTCCATTGACAAACTAAAAATGTCAAAGCATGTAAAGTGATTATGCTTCCTAATGTAACAAAAGTCCATTCTTCTGATCCAAGATAGGTGTCATAGTGAAAGAAATAAACATAAGAAAAGACAGGATAAAACATGCTAGCGAATGGCCAAATGTAGAGATGCCATCGACGAGGCAAAGGCACCAAGAGAGATGCCGAAGCAACTCGTTCAGATTGAACAAGTGTTTGCGTCCTAAAAACACACACATATTTATCAGTTTATTGTAAACTCAATCATGATGCTTTCTTACATTAAACACACAAAGAATCGTCCAAAGAGAAAAAGTGTAGAAAGCTTTTATTATTTACCACTCAAATTTATCCACAGTTTGAAATTTAAGGGAGCGTTTATTCTGTCCAATAGGGTTAGTTTTAATTATCAAATCAATTTGCAAGAGAGATTAAGTAGAGAATTTGACTTGTTGTTCTCTGTTAAACACCCACTGAAGCTCAACAAGCTCTCTCCATAGTGAAAGCTCCTTTCCAAATGTCGAGTTAACAGCCACCTTGGCCCATTCGATCCATACACCTGTACCGTTTGCGTAGATTTTTTCTAGTTTTCGTTCTACACCAATCAATTCCATTTCGATGAGTGCGTTCCAACATGACTTTGCCAAGATCAAACTGTGGTAAGCTAATTTGGGATGAAGGGGAGGGTAAAGTAAAGAATAGGCAACAAAAAGAAACAGAGAGCATCTTGATGCCTCGACCCATTTACCCGCTTTGAGCCTTTCGACAAGCACTTTTTCTGCACCGTGAATAGTTGAAGGAGCAAACGGAGGAACTTGAGGAACACTGAGTAGGGCAGATATGGTTGCAGTCAATCTATGTATCAAATGGTCTCGACTCATGCATTTAGTAAAGTGTGTCGCATGATGACGCCTCTTGTCTCCAGTGGTCGCGTAATAAATTTCTGGAAAGGCTAGTCTGTAGATAAAGTGAGTGAATTGAGGAGGATCCATGACTTGAATAGATGTCCAGTTGTCCTTATCGGTTTGTTCTGCATGCCTAAACATATTCAATACGGACCATGTCTTTATGTGTTGACTGATCAGCTCCATACCCTCTTCTTCAGAAGTTATGAGTGACTGGCCTCTTTCCAAGCCAACGTCAAATCCTGCTAGACTGCCTTCGCAACGTATACAGTGACATTCAAAGCTTTGACCAAACTTGTTTTTCAGCTGATTCCAGCGATCTTGTTTTGTGGAAATCAAATCTACATAGGCTATGGTGATCGGCTCCCCAGGTTGAACAGGTTCTATAGTCACGAGATACTGTTTCCCCAATTTGTAGATAAGAGCAGCGTTTGGGCGACACGAGTGCTGTGTATATAAGGCAGTGATTGGATAGACACCAACGGCGACATAGTCCATATAATGCTCATAGTCAATAATAGGGAATGTACAAGACTGTAAGCGATGCCATAGAGAATTGAGTTCATCAGAAGAGAGCTGACAGTCGGATGGCTTTAAGGATTGAGCAACGTCATCCACAGGGTTTGATTGTAATGCTATATTAGGGGTATCCAGTTCCTGCAATGCTTTGATGGCTGCAGAAAAATGAGAGTGTGATTGTTGCTGTTTACTTAATCGATCGTGACTGTGTAATGTGAGAGCGGTTCTTTCCAACAGCCATCGATCTGCGTCGACATTGATATAGATATCGGCCTCTTGAGGTTCACATAAGATTCTGTGAAAGTGAAACCAAGCGTTACGGAAGCATTCATTGCTACAAAAGTAAGCTGATTTACATCGAGAGCAGCATTGAAGCTGTGCTTTACGTAGACAATAATTACATCTTTGATGTCTTTTAGAAGGCAAAGGTACAGAAGCTAAAGGAGGTTCAACAAATAATGTTATTCCAGGTTCTAAATGTTTAGCAGCAATGAATCGTTTATTTTCTATTCTAATCGTCTTTTCGACCCAACTTTCCAACATTTAAAAAAGGGAACAAAGAAAGAAAGAAAGTTTTTTTTTTCGACCCTGAATTTTTTTTTTTTTGTTCAAATAAGAAAAAGGGAGTTAGTAATCATCAAATTGAAATGAGTTTTATTTTCACACAATTATAATTCAGAAAATAATTTTGCCATATTGATTATGTCAACATTGCCACCACAGAGAATGACTCCAATTCTTTGTATTTTCTCTTTCTTTATCCTCTCTTGAAACTCTTTATTAAACAAGGCTACTCCTACTCCAACGCCTGCACTAGGTTCAATACACTGCTTCAATCTTTTCCAGATAATTTCGGTTGCTTGAATAATTTCCCTTTCACTCGCTGTAAACACATCATCAACATATTTCTGCATGGATTCAAATGCGATCTCTCCCAAGTCGGCTGCTAAACCATCTGCAACAGATGTACGTCCAAGTTCATTTGAAAATCTCTGTTTGCTCTTGAATGATCTACGAGTGTCATCCGTTGCTTCTGGCTCCACTGCATATATCTTGATACGCGGATTTAATGATTTGGCTGCAATAGAGCATCCTGTCAACATACCCCCTCCCCCGACAGGAATAATAATAGCATCTAAATCATTCACTTGACTTAGTAACTCAAGTACAATTGTTCCTTGTCCTGCTATCACATTGGGATCATTAAAAGGATGAACCATGGCTGCGCCTGTTTGTTTTAACACCTCCTTTGCCTTTTTGTACAACCAGTAAACAATCCGTCTCTCTTTTTGTATACACACTTACCACTTTCTCACGATCAGCCTGAGATGACTCACATTCAATTATTTTTGCACCATAGCCAATGACCGCTTCCTTTTTAATAGCCGCCGCAGTCTTTGGCATAACAATGTAGGCTGGTATCCCTCTTTGTTTTGCAGCCAAGGCCACTGCTTGTGCATGATTACCAGATGAATGACATACAACCCCATTCTTGGCTTCTTCTGGTGTGAGCAATTGAATAGCATTACTTGCTCCCCTAAACTTAAATGCTGCGGATACATTTTGTCAGATTTCAACAAGCGATCATCCTATCTTTTCTTACAGCCTGTCTTTTGCAGTAATTCACACTTGAAGAATAATTCGACAGGAGATTCTTTGGATGCATATTCGTTTATTGTTTGACTTGACATCACGGGTGTGCGATGAACTTGAATACGTTCAGCCGCTTGAAGTATATGATCTAGTGTCACCTGTGTCATTATTTAAAATAAAAGATAAAAAAGAAAGAAAAAAATTGTATTGTATGGCTATTTGATATAAATTCTCTGTGTGATCATCAAGATTAAATTCTATTAACGACGCTTTTGCACGCCAGCCTTCTTTGTTCCGCCCCTCGACATCATTAATAATAATTGAGGACTATCTTGAACATTGCTGTTTGGTATCTACTATATCATTTACAAACAGTGTTTAATTTAACCTTAATCTGCATCTTCCGTATATACATGCGGGACAACTTCTTACACTCAAAGAGCAAATGAAAGATATGTCTATGAAAGGACATGCGACTAATATACTTGAGCTTTTGTTCTATTGGATAATACGATCGTAAAACAGTTTATTATATAAAAAAGGCGTCTATACTCTTGGTTTATGCTGGGGGAAGGAAATTAGCAAACAGGATAACTCCAGTAAGTCCATAAAGTACAAAATAACCAAGGATCACGTTCGCTGTACGCTCATTCACTTTCCTTTCAAACCCATTAGTCCAGACATGCCCCACAAACCAGTAAAAGGGCGGCAAGGACGTAAAAAACCGTATGATGACTTGAACATGCATGCTTGTTAGTGCATAAAACAGCATAAATATCCACAGATACATATAAGCTAACAATCGATTGCTGTAAAATGAGTCGTCGTCTTTGTTCTCTTGGGTCTTTAAAAAGACAAATCTCTTCCAGTCGAATCGAATATATGATAAAAGTCCGTATATGCTGATAAGGGCAATAGGTGCAGCCAGTAAAAAATTGGGTATTTGTTTAACTTGATAATATGACATGAACTCTACATCCCAGTACTCCTTTTGGACAAATGTGTACAATAAAGGTAATTTGTTGCTACACCAGGGTCTATCAAGAGCGCAGAATCGTTTGTAACCAAAATATTGAAAGAGAGCGAATCCAGAGCATGTAATGAGTGAATACAATATTGATTGGATCAATCCAGTATAGACATTCTATCCCCATATATCTAGTCAGCTTTAATCCATACATATATATATATCTATACACGTACATCACCTTATACTTTAATAATCGAATCCATACAAGGTCATAAAAGAAGAACCCACAGTAGAGAATACCATTAGATCTCGTACCTGATGCAATGGCCCAGATACTAGCAGCATACATGTATTTTTTACGTGCAGCCAACCTCATACCTACAAAGCCAAGTAAGGCAAACAAGGATTCTGTATAGAACGAAGACATGAACATCGACGGCGGTGATAAGCAAAAAGCGATGGATGAGGCAAATGCTAACTTTGGATTGCGAGGTAAAAGTGCTAGTGTAAGCCTATGAATAATAAATACATTGTGTCTCTAAGGCCCTTTTTTCTTCTTCTTTACTTGTATAAGGCACCAGCAGCAAGAATAAATGAAACATTGGCTACTGCTATTCCAGAAAAGAGTAAGGCATGCTGATATCCGAATAGATACTTTAGAGGTAAAAGAGCTAGAAGTGTATATTTTTGAATTGAATACATAATAAAACAGCATATATATAATCATTTACTGGTATTAGTCAAGAATCTTGATATCAAAGGCATCACTGGGAAAAACGCTGTTTCCTGTTCATAAACATAACCATGTTCTGCAATGTGTAAGAAGTAAAGTGCATCCCATCGCAAGAATGCATTCAACAGATTGTGGGATGACCTAGTTTGTATTTCGGCTGAAGAGTCATAACTAGAAAGGAAATAGTACGTCAGTAGAGCGAGCGATGTAGTGATCACTCGTGTAATTGCTGCAAATGAGTAGATTTGCTTCAACATGTAAATTAAAGAAAGAATAGAAATTCAGTCAAAAGTAGTACAAGATACATGTCAATTTGTTTATAAGCAAGACTTTACAAATTTAAAGATCTCATAAGTATACATAAAGAACATGCGATTAGAGCACAAGATCTACACTGTTTAAACTAAAGGTGAAGACATTGGATGGCACATTTGCTTATAAGATGATAGTCACCATATGCTCAGGACTGGGGTTTACTTCCGGAAAACCAGCCAAAACGCCAGAGAATGCATTAGCTACTAGTACAAATGATCGTGGATATTCATAGGATGACCTCGCAACTGAATTCGATCAACTTCACCTTTTTATTTTGTTGACCAAATCAAAAGGAGATCTTTGATTATGAGTAAAATAAGTAATATTGGCCTTTCAATTAGAGTATCTTTCTTTTTACTGAAATGAACCAACACTACTCTTGATTATGAATAAAGCGAATGTCATATGTATGAACTGCTGTGCTTAAAAGCAAAGTATCCTTGGCAATATTAACTATAGGGATCAACAAAGCAAATGGTCATCTTTTCAAGCTACGGACAACAATACTTCTTGCTACATTTTGCAGACATAAAATGATAAAGCGCTTGAGTAAAGAATGAAGTTCGATGATTAATAAGATCCTTTGTACACCAAAAGACTGATTTTTGAATTTGCTAAATATGCACCTTAGTAAGCACTATAGATAGTTATTCCTTATTGCCTCTTCTTATTGGGATGTATAGTCCTGCTCCATCTTTTTGACTCTTTATACTAAAAGGGGTAAATACTATACTTATCAATTAAATGACAACCTTTGTTACTACAGCGTTAACTCGTAAAGCAAATTGATAAGCTTCTCTGTCATAATTTGATGAGTTCAGCCTTGAATGGACCACCTTTTTTAATTGCTACATGTCTCTATCGTATTTTATTTGAACTTTTCATTAACTTAGATCTACTTCAAAATTATTAAGCAGACGGATGTGATCCTACTTCATAATAAAGAAAGCAAAGTAGTTGCCATAATGATTTATAGCTTTGAATAATGATAGGCATTAAAGTGCGCTCTAAGGTTTCTTGAATCCTTTTTCATATTATTATTTTCTATTTTTTCTTCTTTTAAATTCATGTATTCATATTCTTTTTCATGGTTATAAAAACCTCTTTTCTCACCCAAAAAATCTTATGTTTGATAATACCTCTCATTCATGATACGCGAGTATCCATGACAATAAAGCCATTAATTGAAGTATGTTGTGTACCTTAGCAACCCATCCTGTTTCGAGCTCCATTTGAAATAGTTTATGCAGATTTAGAAGGTCCATTGCTTTACTATAAAAATAAACGTATAATCGTTAAATATATCTCATTCATAGTCGTCGCTAATGTTATTCCACATTTCACAAGCAGAAGGGAAGAGGGTAAGGATATAACAACAGGGAACAGAGGGTAAACATTTTACCTTTTACCTTTTTCATGTGCACTAAAAATAAAAATAAAAACATTATTCACTCTTATGTTTTCCTAAGCTAGCAACTTAATCACCTATATTTCATACTTGATAAGCAGGCTTTGATACATGAAGGTCAGGACGCTTTGATCTTAGTTCTTTTTAGCGAAAAATAGTAATTCATTATTACTTTTATGAGACAAGCCAGAGTGGCTAACCAAATAGATCAATCATGGTTGACTTCTGTTGATTGATAAATAACAACTGTAATGAAGTTAATTATATGTGTTCCACACAATCGGTGGTCTAGTGCTCTTTGAGAAAAACTATTTTTTTTTATTTCCTATCAGCTGCATCTTTAAAGATGCCGCTCCCTCCCAACCTTTTTCCTTGTACATTTAATTCTGATCTTACTTTTTTTTTTTACTCATTCTTAAAGAAAACGACCAGAAAAATAGAAAAACACGCATTGGAAATAAGAAAAGTGGAGCAATCATAATGAAAAAATTAGATATGCATGTATATGTGAATGTGCGTGTGAGATTAACTGTATGTAAACAAGCGGCCTTGTAAAATAAAGGAGACGTAAAATTTATGCAAAGTAAACAAACCAAAAAAAAAGATACAAGAGAATATTCCATATTCTAAACTAAAGGGTAGGAGGCTTTCGTATATGTTTTGATATGGATAAGGTAGAGAATGAGTTATTTATTTATTCATACATTGCTAGAAAAAGATAGATTGAAAAAAGGAGGAATGAGTCATTTATTTTCAGCCTAAACAACGTGATTCACGTAAGCAAAAAACTATAAAAGAGACCATCGTTCTTTTCCTTCTTTTTTTTCATTCTTTATCTCTTTTAAAAATTTTCCTATGCTTTTATTATTCCCTATACTGAAAAGGTATAACAGCGTTTAGGTGATCTCCAGGGACATATAACTGATATCATCGTTTAGAAAATTCACTTTTTCTGGTTCTATTTCATGGTTCCTGATGTATCTTACTCTATCATAATGATCTCTCACAGGGTGAAGCCTTAAAGAAATTTCTGCTATTCGCTAATACTCAAAAAATTCCTGATACTGCTTATCAATATACTCAAGCAATCAAACAAATACTCAAATACCTACTTATGCTTATCAAATGCTTATCAAATCTCTGGAAAGACGAGTAAACGCTTACTCATGCTTATCAATACTTACAACCAGTCATCAGTACCTGAAAATTCTAGTGAATGCCTGTCCTATGCTTATCAATGTCGGAAAGCCCCTAAAGAATTTTGCTCATGTCTATCAATGTCTGCTGCTAATGAATACTGCTTTGGAGTAACTACATATTCAAGTTCTGAAGCCACAAGAAATATGATCAATATGCTTTGCCACTATCTGCCAAACTCTATTAAACTCTGCTACAAGAAAAGAAGAAGAAGAAAAAGAACAAAAAACTAACCAGACAAGTCGCTACTTCTCTACGCTGGATCACCCTGACATGCTCTTATTGTTATGGCTCTGCCTCTACAGCTGATGAATGGTCCGTAAACCCTCCCTTACTGCTGAGCTCGATGGTTGCGATACTCCAAATGCTCAATATTCCGATGTCTTCACAGTCATCATCTCTTTCGAAACGCTTCGTCCTAGGTACTTAGAGGTGCACTCTTTGTACGTTGAAGCGCCTCTTTCGTTGAATTTATCGTGGTATGGTTTTGAGATTGATTTTTGAGCCTTGAGCTTTGAGTGCTTTTTATTCAT